AACAATCTAGAATTTATTCTATTGTGTATCATTCTGTAATAAATTCTATTATCCGAAATAGACACATTTTCACGAGACGAGCTTGAATAACATAGTATCCATATAGAAATAGATATAAGACATTCTGCATACGAAAGGTTTTTAAAATACGTAGATATGGTGGAAAGGCCTTGCTTATTTTCACTTATTGACGTCGTGTGTACTGCAATCTTCCCCTTTTATGCCACCATGCATTAATTAATTAATTAATTAATTAATTAATTAATTATTCACTCGACTGCACTGTCTGCTTAATAGGAGAGTAATGTGAAGCGTGTTTGAATTTGTTATGATGCTGTAAGAAAGTTAGTGATAAACTTTTAAAAAAAGATCAAAGAAGATTTGCATATTTATTTTCCACATTAAGAAACGTCCCTGCAGAATATTTACATGGTTCACTTCATGCCCACAGTCGCAATTATGGGTCATGGCCTATCTGAATTTTATGCCTGCTCTGTAATTCTTTGAATGGTTTTAAAGAAACTTTAACATATCTTAACAGTATTGAGCGGACATGCGTAGCTCATAGTGCACATAGATTGTTTCCTGAAAATGTTCATGTACGCAAAAAGATCAATTAACTTATTCTCCGCTTTATAACTGTTATTTCAGTGGGAACTGTAAATTATAAACACTTTCGTAATTCGTTTCTTTTGTTATTTTTAGGAAAATGGGTCGTTTTCTAGGCACAAAAAGGAAAGGTTTAAAACTTTCAAGAATAAAACGTCACGTGTATCGTTTTAAAAGAGGAAGTCATCAGCGCTTACATCTCCTTTTTCGCCTTTTAAATTGTCCCCATGTGTCTAAAGATTCCGCGTATCGCAGACTCCAAAGTCCAAAAATTCACCAGAAAGTGCACGTATTACTTTTTCCAATTCAAAGAAAAAACGCTTAATATTCAATTTAACAACTATTAAGTCCCATGAAATGTTCTTCACAGAAAGGATTTGCAAAGATAAATAAAATCAGTTACAATGAACAGATAGACATTATGGATGACATGGGTTACATAAAAAGTAACCGAGGGTTTCGGGTGGGAAATTTTATTTATGGAGAGAAGCCAATCATAAATTGAAATTTTATGTTTATTAAAATTCTCATTTCTGTTTATCATGCGATAAAACAGTTATAATATATCGAACTCGACTATTATGTAGAAATATCATGACCTGGGCGGCATCTCGGGTTTTCCTTACAGACAATGTTCTCGGCCCATATCCTGTAAAGAAAAACCTTCGATGCCGCACCAGGCCATGATATTTACACATAACAGTCTGTCGCTATAACTATAAACTTGTGGAATATTAAAGTGATAGATATTTTTATGAATGTAAACATTATTAAAGAAACATATTATATGACACGATAGCTTTACAAAGTTCAATACTCTCAGTTTGGTTTGTCCAAGTTACATATCATTTATTAGTGAATTGTTTATCATAAAGAGTACTATCCGCTCTGCGTCAACATTTTTCATGTACTCGGGCCTTTTAGTATTTCTAATGCTATTATAAGCTAGTAAAGCTCTGTCACTGTGGTAATCAAACATACTAATGTTACAATTAAACTTTCAGCCAAAGATGCAAAACCTATATTGTTACTATACATACATTGGCTATTCAATGATTATATGGAAGTGGTCCGTAGTTTTGTAGATGGTTTTCTACATCACTTATGAATCTCTTCAGCACATCTGGAGCTCAAATGCAATTTTGAGCAGCGATTCCCTTGTATGTAGCCAAATCTCAATAAATATTTAAACCAGAATTTGTTTGAATGTTTAGCATCGACCTGTAGTGAAATTTCGTAAAATCTATGTTTTTCGAGTCCGTTTAGTGACATTTTCTTCATTCATATTGCATGTTTTGGACACACCAGAACCCACGACGGAAAGAATATCTCGATGAAGACTGCATAGAAATCCAAAACAACAAGGGGTAATATAGAGGAGAGTCAGGAGGGTAGAATCACATTTCGATTTTCTTAAAAAAAGGATTGAATTTTATATAAATGTTTAAAAAGATGAAAACTTACCCTGCGATCGGCCTATTTTTCCAGTCACATCTGATGTTATGCTTCACATCTGATGCAGCGGAAATTCACATATCATTTTTACCGATGCTCATTTTTGAGATTCATATGGGGTTCCACCCCCGTGTGATATTAAAGTGAATACTTTTGGTCCAACTTAAAAGCTAATAGGTATATGAAAGAATGCGAAGAACTAGAACATTATAAATTGTTCTCTTGATAATGTTTATTGAAGAAATGTAATGGAAATGTTGAAATATGATATAATGGGATGGAATTACTTACATGAGTATACAGGAGATGCCAACGGCAAGTAATAAGCCAACGAGACAAAATGTTGCGATACGAAGCCAATACATGTAGGATGAAAATGTTGCGATACGAAGCCAGTAAGATGAAAATGTTGGGATACCAAGGCAGTAGAATGAAATTGTTGCGATGCAAAGCCAATAGGATGAAAATGTTGCAAAACGAAGTCTATAGGATGAATATGTTGCGATACAAAGCCAGTAGGATGAACATGTTTCGATACAAAGGTAGTGGGATAAAAATGTTACGAGACAAAGCCAATAGGATAAATGTTGCGATACGAAGCCAATAGGATGAAAATGTTGCGATACGAAGCCAGTAAGATGAAAATGTTGGGATACCAAGGCAGTAGAATGAAAGTGTTGCGATGCAAAGCCAATAGGATGAAAATGTTGCAAAACGAAGTCTATAGGATGAATATGTTGCGATACAAAGCCAGTAGGATGAAAATGTTTCGATACAAAGGTAGTGGGATAAAAATGTTACGAGACAAAGCCAATAGGATAAATGTTGCGATACGAAGCCAATAGGATGAAAATGTTGCGATACGAAGCTAATAAGATGAAAATGTTGCCATACGAAGTCTTTAGGATAAAAATGTTGCGATACGAAGCCAATAAGATGGAAATGTAACGATACAAGCCAATGGGGGTAAAAATGGTGACATGAGTAAACAATACGGTGAGGTTATTTTAATATGAATTTCTCATTTCAATATTTCTAGTGGATATAATTTTAGTATGAGAAGACAATGGGATGGAACTGAAGAAATAAGAAGGTAATATGGTAAAAATTTAGCAGCAACAATAAAAATGGGTACATAACATCATATTTGTAGATATAATCATTCTCATTTACTTTTTAACAATTAATACCAGAACAGGTAGAGTGCGCATCATAAAATAAACTGACAGGACCACACATCACTTTAATGACATTAGAAAATCAGTAAATCAACGGTGTAGTTTGAAATCTGGTCACTTAGTGAGATACTTGCAAAAAAAAGCGTATAAATTATCATGATAGACTCTAGAACCAAATTATACCTTTTGTAGCTTCATTTACATAATTTATTGCAATTTCGTGAAGTAAACACACCTGGATAATAATTAGGCTGTATTATTTTGCATGCAGTAAAATATTTCACCTAGTTTCCATTCCCTTTGTCATAAAAAAGTGCATCTGCGTAATTACGGTGGCGGGATTTGACGTGACGATGTTTTCTGAAATCAAAACGCGCATTCGTGATGAGAGTTTCTAAAAAAAGCTTGTAGCTTTCTACTCGTTTCTTTTTTGCATTGAATTGTAAATATATTGTATATATATGTTTGATTGAAATGAAATATTGTTTAAATTAAACAAAGTGCGCATGCGTGGATATTTGCTGACGCTGGTGTGCCATGCAGCTGAAACTTTGATAGCACACCTCACTAATTATGACTACAGTTTCAACAGACAAGGGAGGATTTCTTGGATATGGTGATTGATTATTCTGGAACTAAACTGTGGAAAAAAAGGCCAGAAATCACATGCTGTTGATAATGCTCTTTTAAAATCAAGTCATTTTACAATGGGGTGGGGGAAGGGGTCAAACATTTATTAACAACAACAAAATCATAGTGTTTTTGCAGATATTTTATGCTAAGATCAGGTCTCGGACCGCAGTAGATTTTTGATTTCTAGGGATAGAATCGCATGCTGTTCGTTTACAAAACCCTATAACAAGTAGAGAAACTGATTGCGAATATCATGGATCCTGATCAGACTGTGCGGATGCGCAGGCTGGTCTGGATCCATGCTGGTTGCAAACGTACTATGTTGGTTTTGTCATGGCACGGCGCAATTATATACTAGTATTTACCAAGTTGCAACTAACTCGCAGATTTCCAGATAGCATCTTTTTTTTTATGATTATAGTTATGACAGTGAATATTCGTTTACGTTTCCTGGTGGAATACTCACTCGTTTTCATGACATCAATGGCTATTATTTTTAAAAATATTCTCCGAGACGCTGTGTGATACTGAAACAAAAAAGAAACTTTCTCCAAGTTTGAATGTAGATATGTTAGTACAGTTTTTCAATCCTTTTGAAACTCGATTTTTACGTTGAATAAACATATCGGGCTTTTATACGGGGATTAGCTGACCGATTTTGCAAACAAAACGAGTTTTACTACATGTATATAAGTGTGCACATCTAAGTGGTACCCTTGAACAACTGGCACATACTTTGCGAAAGTTTCTTTTTTGGTTCAGTATAGTTAGATATCTGGAGCATATGGGGAAGTTCGATTGAGGTCGTCGATTTGCAGTACTTTTGAATTATTCGCTCAAGTTAAAATAGGAAAAATTTTCTGCCCGTTTAAAAAAAGTCGCTGACTGCCCATGTACCAGTATGGTCCATTGCCTAAATGAATGCAAGGGCACGAAAGATCTACTTTAACTTCGAGTAGTAAAATCTGCGATGCCTAGTTGCAATATTATGAAATTTCTACTTTGTATTCACACAGATTTACAATATGTAAATATAAACTACATATACATAGAAATGAATGTGAGGTATCCGTATTAGGCAATATCATTTAAAAATATTGAAAAGTTAAAAGTAAAAGCAAGGAATTCCAAAGAATCTTTTATTACAAACATTAATTATATCAGTGTATTAAAGTAAAATAAACATATAATTAATTTAAAGTATAACAGAATAATAAACAAACGCTGTATTATAGTAAATAAATGTTAAATTTCCGGTTCCCTTTTATTAATAGCATACAAGTTGTTATAAAATGATAAAAATAAAAAACTTTTCAAAATTTCTTTTCAATAAGTATCATATCTATAATTGAACTATCGTGTTATAAAAGGACAAATTAAGCTTATATTCAAGATGTGTAGAGGTCATTTCAGAAATCACGACATCATCAAAAACAACAACAACAAAAACACTGATTAATTAATTCAATTTCCTTATACTATTTAAAACATTTTTCTCAGTTTTCTTCGAAACCCCTTACTATTTTAAACTTTTTTCCCTGATTATTCGAATATAATGTACATTTGTATTTATTACAGTGACTTGTGTTGAAGGACAGTTTATTTTTCATTGAATTTTTTCTGTTTTTAGTTGACTACATATACAAAGTGGATTAATGAAATCACTGCAAGCCTATACAATTAAATGTGTAATATGTTTAGCTCTCGGTTTAATATTTAAACTTGAACCTTTCTTGCGATTGAAAGGAAGTAGAAACGTTTATATATAATGACGTATATAGACGAATGCAAAATATAAGTTTTTTTGTGTTCTATTGTGAAACATGAGGAAAAGTAGTTCCTTATTACATACTGCTTATAATTGGTCAATTAATGTAAAGAGTGAGATTACTTTTATATATAAGAGAAGAGGAAAATAAGCTGTGCTGAATATTTCTAAATATTAAAGAAGAAATACATGTATATATCACAATAACTTTTTTACGAAAATAAGAAATTCACCACATTAAGCTATGTTAATTCACTGAAACAAATCACAAAAAAGCAAAACTCTTTAAGCAACATCCTTTTTCTTTCAAAACATACTAGTAAAATTTAAGATTGTCACGAAAGTAGTATAAAATTCGGACATTAACATTGTTCCAAAAAAGACAGATACACTATATCTGAATTAAATAAACTAGATTTGTTGCTTATCACAAAAACAATTTACAGTCAAATTACGCCAAAACTTCTTTCTTCTCTTCATTCAGAGCATCCTCTAGCCCCGGCTTTTCCGGAAGTGGATCAGTTAAGAAAACGAGGGCGGGTTTCTTTTCTGTTTCATTTGGCAGCTCGAGTTCGTTGTTGAACTGGTACCATTTACCGGGTTTGTCAGCGCGTGCGCGTCTCATCATAGCAAAGCAGGCAACCAGGGCGGTGATCAACGCAAATATGGCGCCAATGCCGGATGATATAGCAGAGTATGGTGCTCGGACCTTGACTGGAATTCTCTGATCGTGTTTGAACACGCTGTAGTGACCAAGACGTGAAACTGGCACAATGGCGATAAGAGCTGAAAGAAAGCAAATTAATATAAAATATATTTTAGTGTGTGTTTTTTATTATTGTTTTAAATACATTTATTAGATACCTAATGAAGTATTTTTGGTCGTAAATAAATAATAAAAACCGTCCTCCATTATCTAGAACACAGAAGACATGAATAATTCTTCAGAAATAAAGGCAATAGACAATCTATTCAATGACAAACGCTCTCTTAATTTTACCTTTTAAATGTAGCCGGCCATTTATTTTTACTTGGAAAGGTAAGCATTTATTGCTGAATAAATAATTTTGCTTTTATACACTGTCTTTTATATACATTAAAAGTTCATCAGAAAGTATCTTTTAACAATACAATATATTATGAAAGTAAGAAAAAGTATGCTATTATGCGATGACAGAAAGATTGAAACGTGTTTACAAGATTATATAAGCTTAACAGTTCATCTTGTAAAACCAAAAATAAATACGCATGAACTTCTAACACCGTCAACTGACAAACGATTTATACACTAACAGTTTTACACAAAACAGTCTGACACTAACGGTTAACCTCATTACCTCCCCTTACATTATCCTGGCAAGAGGTCCGGACATTTACCTTCTGAACTAGACAAACGGTTCATTAACTGACCTCTTCATTTACTTATCTGTTTTATGCATATCGACTACACAAACAAGTCATACATTATTAATATTACGGGGAAACTTCGAAACCAATAGTCAAGGTAATTGCATAGCATTATCAATGGTGTGTACGGCTGAATTTTCAAGTATATAATCTTTAAAGTAATAATTTAAGCATGCTGAATGATTACGTGACTTTGTTTGTGTAAACATGTTCACTCGGCCTTTAACAAAACGTTTTGGCCTTTTAGACTGTCTTAACAAAATAACAGAAACTTACAATTTACAACAGTATTAAACCGAACACATCGAAGTTTAATAATTGTTGACATTTAAAAATGATCATCTATCAAGCATGATTAAAAAACAACACAAGAGATGAAAATTCGTGTATTCATTAACTATTTTCCCCTAACCTGCTGCCAACATAAACAGGATACAAGCAACGCCAGCACATCTGCACCCATTGACCTTACGGAACCCGCCAATAGCAGAGACCAAACCAAGGATAAGGAAGGCCAGGACGACGCAGTTCTCTACACGATGCTCCGTCAAGCTGGCGTAACCAAAGTCTGTAAATATATACAAATAGATAAAATTATAATTTATATCATTCAGATAAATTTTAACATGGTAGTCCCAGTACGACATTATTATTCAATATGTTATTAGCATACATACATTATTTATACATGTTTATTATCTGTAGACAAGGCAAGACGATTTGTTTAAGTCTCACTCTTGTACATACATTCACAAAATCACGGATTTATATAAATCCGTGACAAAATATAACAACGTTTATAAAAGAAATACATGCACAAAACCACTCTAAAAGAGTTGTGACAGACTAAGAACATGGTCATAAATAAAAAAACAAACAAACAAACATTTAAACCAGTCTTAAACGATTGTTAAAAGCTGAATTATGTGGCAGCAATAAAACTTGTATTACAGGTATAAATTTAGTATTTATGCTGCATTATAAATTCGTTTTAAAGATTTATGGCAAAAGCGGCAAGGATTGTGTGTGCTAACAACCGTTTATATGGAGCCATATAACCCATTTTTTTACAGAATTTATAATACAACATAATTAAAACGAAAATAACTTACAAACGTGCAGTATGATAAATATTCACTAATAACAAACTGCTAGTGCTATACAATATTCATGAATCAAAACGGTTATATGTAAAATGTCCTTTTCTCTGGAGAGAAATGTTTCATTAATTATTAACTAGTTTTCAATGAATATATGTATAGTTTTTGTATAAAAAAACAATAATTTCAAGCTAATGTTCTAATCAATAACTGTTTAATAAAACATATTGGTGTAAGCAAGTTAAATATCTATATAACTTAGCCTATCCAGTTATTATATTTGGGGATGACGCCGGAGAGGGATTGATATAATGATAATATATGTTAAATAATTTCAACAATGCATAAAATAAAGTAAAAACATGATCCCTAAAGACCTACTTTTATTGCTGAGGACACGATCAGATGGGGGTCCTGGGTTGATGTAATCGATTGGATCCTCGTAGATGAAAGAGTTATACAGGGCACATTTGGTGGATACTTTCCTGCAGTGACAGTGTCCTAAATAAACATAATAAAATATGTATCATCAGTAGATAAATCATAAACATATTTTCAAATTATATATTGTAAATCATGTAAATAAAATTAAAATATTTGTCCCTTGTTCATGATGGTAGTAATCATATTTGTTTTGTTTTTGTTTTAAGTGGAGCATTTAAAACAAAGATTTCATTACTTTAGTTCTTAATTAAATCAATCTTATTTCTACCATACCGTGAGGAGACATATCATTATCTTAGGAAAGATTTAATTAAACATGAAGTTTATACATCAATTCAATTAAAAATACACACATCTACATATTCCGTTTATATTCTTTCGAAAATATAGTTACTTTAATTTATTTTGATAAAAGTTGAAACTCTCGGATCCAGCACTGGCGTCATGTGATTGTGATCAAAATAGCTTCAAACCCACGAACTCTGGGATGAGAGGCTAACATATTTATCGGTAGACCATCGCCCCCTTTCAATATCTTATTTCTGAAATGTTTCACAGTGCATTACATACCGGACTGAAATTCTTGAACAGGGTTAAAAGTAACGGAACATATATTTCTTTGAGAATCTAGATTTGGACACTTAAACATTAATGTTTATGGGTAAACATGTATGTATTTCCGGAAAAAAAAATCTGGATTTCCTACCCTTCTTGTGTTTCTTATGATCATCATCATCTTCACTACTGCTGCTAGAGTCTCCGTGTTTGCCGTCATGGGTCTTCTCATGTATACATACGGTGGAGTACCAGAGACCGTAGTGGGTGCTCACCTCAAACGTTTTAATCTGAATCTGTAACATACATGTAGATGCCATCTTAGTTACGTATAAAAGTGGACATATTGTACACATAATATATTACTCCTTCACTGGTCTGACTATTGTAATGGACAGGTCTTGCGTTGAAATTTGGAATTGTCGTTTGCAAGTGTTTAAAACCCTTACCACACTAAATATCGTTAATGGACTTGTCTGTCTTTCAATCTGGACCAAACCATTTATCATTTTTAGGGGAAATTAAAAAAAAATGTATACTGATTTAATAACGATCAGTGCAGACCGCGGCCAGACGGCACGGATGTGCAAGCTGATCTTCGTTTGAACTGAGCGCAAAGGCAATAGTAGAATCTGTTTTGCCAAGTGACGAAAAGAGAAAATGTTTAAGTATTTAATATCAAAATAATAAACTGGTGCTGCTACAAATTTGACTTCTGAAGTGTGTAGGATCTGCTCGTTCATCCGGGCTACATCAATGAGTAGCACATAATCGCTAGCACTTGACACCTTACCTACAAAGTAAGTGATGTCTAAAATATTGTTTGACATATCGATCAGCTCTCCAGAAAAAAAAACATTATCTACTATTAGTGACAATTTTGAATTCATAATATTTTCCTCCTTTTAATAAAATAAGGAAAAAACTGGTAGGATTAAAAATTTAAAACATTAAAATTGAATGTGATATACGAGATTCAAGTACACAACTTAGCTAAATAACTGCTCCTAAAGACGCTTCAAGTCATTACTTCCGATTACGTGGTTCACCTTTAACCTCATTATTGTTTTTAATCACGCATATCTTTCTTAAAGCTTTCAGTCCTTCCTTTTTAATCATTATTAAGGACACATAGTTAATAATCTCAATTCAATAGAAACTCAGGAAGTTACTTTAAGTATTTAAAACCCTGCGTGTTTTGATATAAAAATCCATTATATTATAGTGTTGAATGAATTACACTCAGGCGGTTCCAATTGCGGACCCTGAGCCTGCCCTGACGACACCATTGTGGTTACAAGTGCCGGATTCATGGGTCCGGGGTAACTTAAGAACTAGCTAGATGTTAGCCTGTCATCTATAATTGATAACGTACCGGTCTAGTAATCTAAGGAAAGTTGGCTCAGAGGGTTCTAACTTCTAACCCATTAAGGGCTTCCTACGGCAAAAAACTAGGTTCTAGAGTGTGTTTATAGGCTTAAAGCTTCCTGCACTGTTGTAAATTCTGTTTCAAGTAATATATGGGGATAATGATTGTGTTTTTTCGAAGATCGTTATGAGAATAGACAACTTTTTTATAGAGAAGAGTCCTTAGGATTATCGATCGATGTAGCAAGATAATGTCAAATTCTAGTACACACACTGTTATGTTTATACTGTATATTTTCATGCTCAAGTGGCTATCAAAACAAGAAGATATCATGCATAACTCTTTATGTTTTGTCTTTCATATAGATCTACAAACATAATTTATCAGCCCATATCGAATTACACTGTTAATAAAATATTCATTCCCCCACTTAACCTGAACTATATACAGTTAGCTTTGTATGGTATAACTTACGCATCATTTATTTATTTAGAACATCACGCGCTGTATGACTGGCATATTATGTAAATTTTACAGTGCATGATACATATTCATTGAAATGAAATGATGTAAACACTTGAGAATGTATACATGTACTTCTAAGTAACATCCTATAAATGGACTGAGTCACGTGTCCCAAGGCTAAATTGATTAATCGTTAAATCAGACTTCTGTCAAAATATAGGCTAATTATTACAAGTACATCATCAATGACAGGTCTCAATATAAAAATAAATATGTCTGATATATATACATGAAGAAATTTCTTTAGACACATATAATCATTAAAATTAATATTGACCAAATACAGTATAATTATCCAATACAGTATCCTCTTCTGATTAATACGGTTAGGCCTATATAGCTAAGGTATTTAGATCTACTGACAAAATAAATATTATTAAAGTTAAGGCTTTTTATATAAGCACCAAAATATCATAGTCAAAATATATTGACGTGCCAAAGCTATATTCTGAGATATTTTCGTTCTGGGTCAGAATCTCGCTTCTAACTTCTACGTATCACAATATCTCGTCGCGCAGTACAATTATAGTTGGACTACAAAATACACACATATTAAACAATAAAACAAAAGTTGAAATCAATATCATTCTGAATACTCCAGAAAAACTAGACAATAAAACATTTTTGTATACATATATTGGCAATTTGCGCATTTGAGCTGTGTCGTCTGCTCTACATTGTACTGTCGCTACAGGTGAAGATTGTCGAAATGCTAAGCCATATATAAAGGTATGATAATAAAAACACAGGTAAACAGGTGAAATGAATAGCAAAATATGATAAAATAGTACCGTTGTTTCGATTATCCACTGGTCAAGAATATTGTTCTCCTCGATTAATTCTTCTTCAACGATTTCAACTTCCTCTTCACTGCGTCTCTTCCTCAATTTCTTCATTTTATCTAATGGATTTTCTGGCTCTTCCGGGGCTTTCACTCCTCCGTGGTCAATTATCTGAGTTTGAAACATAGCCGTCTGGCGGCTTTCCTCCATAAACGACAGCCTCATTATCAGCCAACCCGGTGCTGCAAAGCCAACCAGATGGAAGAAGAGGGCTAGCATACCCAGGGTAAGAATCCCGCACAGGAAAGGTCTCTTTTCGCACGCCATTTTGTTTTAATGTCTGTTCTGTGTTTTTGTTATGAAACTGTTTACCTTCAGTGCGCAAGTCAATATACAAGTTACTTCCCTTTGCAAGAAAACGTCTTTTCATTGGTTTAGATATATCGATTTTTGCTCAATTAAAATGATACAAATGCTAAAAATAACTGAAAGGCTGTGCATGTATAAATGTTAGGTTTCCGGAACAGTCAAATTCAAACTTGTTTACTGCAATGCCTTTAATAGCATTTACATGTAGAAGATTTATTTAATTAACAGGACAAGCGCGCGCGTATCTATTTGCTTAGTATTATTTGAAAAAGTAAACCTATAGTTTAAATAAATACATGTAGTTTGTTTCATTGCTAAGTCAGGTTTGCCACTTAAATTTACATTTAAAGTTCGTGGTTTTGCATTTGTTCGAAGTCCGAATAGATTTAATTTATTTTAAAGCTGCACGCCTCCAGATTCATACTGATTTTCATGAAAAAATTGAAAATTAATTATAAAGAGTAGTATATGGGACGTGTTTTCACACAACAACAACAACAAAAACAGACAATATTAATCGTACATAACATGTCAATTACTACTTGAAGCTTGAATCTTTTTACTTTTCCTAAAAATTTAGTACATTTTTCTCATGCTTGATTTTATTGAAGTATTTTTGGCTCATCTGGAGGCATGCAGCTTTAAGAAAAGTAAAAAGATTCAATATTTAGTTAATTATTTACATGTTATGTGCGATTAATGACTGATTTTGCAGTATCAATCACTATAATTCTACTGCGTTACTAACGCTGTAAGAGGTATTTATGTATATTTTGACCTCTTTTTTGGTAATTTACGTGGATTGCAAGTGCCGTTTGCAATGTGTAGATTACTTCCTTTGTTCACTTCACAATATTTTACTTTTACAGTTTCAAAAATTTTCGTGAAAATTGGCATGCTGCTTTAAAGGACCAATAAGAAATTAGGTTATTAACATTAAAACTTAAATTTGCTGGTAAGTTCGGATATGACCCTGACATTTTAGCTTACAATGTGAATACACATGTACCTTATTTTTTTCGTGAAAAATACTGTTCGCGTGGTCATTTATTTTTTCATCTTTTCAATAGTATGATTTATGTTCTGTACGTAGATTTGCTATTAATAATTGAAAGTTGTAGCAAAATTACCATTTTTCCACACGCACATGTCTCTGTTGACAGGCGATTCTATGCTGGCTTCATTGTGTTGAATCAAATCACACGGGGGAAAAAAACCTCCCAACAATTTCGAAGAGCGTAGCCGCTTCACTACGATAAACTTTTTACTATGACCTATGGACTTTTGCCGCGCAAATTTATTTTTGAAGGAAAGAATGTGAGTATAATTACTAACTTTAATTGCATCATAGGTCATTTGAATATTTTACCGATAACGCACTGTGAGCATGTATTTTTCCATTCAGGCGTGATCTTTTGACTGTATATGTGAGAAGCTGTCCTCGTCCCAGGAACGATCGCATGCGGTAATAGCAAAATGCGTCTCGAGAGTCTTGTGGCGCTTGTGAGTGCCTTAAAATGACCCATGAAAATCCTACTTCTGTTTCTATAGTAATATACTTCCGTTTCTATAGAATTATCGTCTTGTTAAAAAGGTTAATTATATAAACATGCCAGCATTCAACAAACAAAATTTTTGCAAAATGTAAATGAGATTGAATGACAAGACAAAGTCTTACAAAATTCCTCTCTTAAGACGAATTATATGGTTTGTCGGAAAGTATGTAATATAATTGAAAATGTTCTAGACGAGGAAAAACGCTGTTGAGTAATACTACAGTTTTCTACGGAAAAAGTCATATAAACAAGTTAATAAAAAGGAAATGATAGGATATGTTTCCTGACAGCGTAAAGAAGTATTTGAAGGTTTCTCCAAGTTACGAAGGAATGTAACTAGGGAGTATAGACGGCGTCATCTGGACAACAATGGAAGAAGTGATGGATAGTTTCAACATCACTACAGTGACAACGAAGGGTAAGAGCAATATTTTTCTTAAAGGGTTTGTAATTCAAGCTTTATACTTGGTACGAAGACCTGTTACCACAATCTGCAGTTTCAGACTACCTCCTTGGAAGTATTTAGGCATCTGATCCTGGTCCTTCTTATAGACAGATTAAATCATACGATGCTGTACTAAATTTGGCACGTTTCATTTAAGTCAAAAAGACATAAAATGATAGGCTGGTTAAGTTTTTGGATTTTTAACCTTGCACAATGCTTATTTGCTCATGTCGACTGTAGTATAAACAAGCAGATCAGGAGGGGGCTTAGACGCGGAGAGAGGGGAGTAATATTTTATATTCATCTTAAATTTCAATATGGCCAACAAATTTGCTTCCTCCCTTTATACCAGAAATAAATATAGATCTGTGTTTATGTATATGTAACGTTAAAATGACCAAGAAGGCTCTTCATTAGGTTTAATGAACAAACGTGAATTTATAGTAATAAATACTTAAATGTGTTAGGTAACATTGAATTGTGTGTGTTTGATGTTGGCCATTCAGAATATCAGGGGCATGATATAGGTTTTTTTCTATCGACCTGTTATTTATTTAGGTCAAGGCAGAAATTTAACAATTTAAGTACAGTTTACGTTAGTTATAGACTTACCACTATATACGATTATATATGACACTATACGCTTAAGCATGTTTCATACAATATTTTTTCATTCTACCAGTAACAAATTCATTAACAAGTAGCACTTATATCAATCCTGTCTGTGATTTTTATATGTATTTGGAAAGTTTAAAGATATACTATGCTTATCCTTGAGCAAATATTTTAATCACAGAAATTTATTTAAATCTATGAAATTTTTACTGAATATGTCTAATTTGAAAAAAAAATACGGATAAACCATGTATGGGGAGCTACGTTCCCTATTTCATGTCATTTTAAGTTGGTCTTTTCTTAAAAAACTGCCGTTTTTTTTAATGCACTACATTTTCATATTGTTACCACCTATAGTGTGTAGAATTTCAAACATAACATATCTACTTTGTGTGAAGTCAAAACATGTTTATATTTATTTATTTATAGGTAAGGTAGGTAAATTGTTTATTAAAGTGACATGTGTTATTTACAATATAATCATATACAAATATTTTAATAAAGGTATTTAAAACACTCGGCCTCATAGCCTATTAGTCACTGTTGACATTTAATACAGTATCTATGTATAGTTCTCAAATATTGTGGATAATACAGTCTTAAACGCACCTTTCTGAGGTCTGGTTCTCGACTGCGGATCTTCCTCTATCGTCAGCTTGGTGCCCGCCAGATGTTTCGGCTCTTATCCAAGTACATCTGTAATGGCGGGTGGGCCCACCGTCTTACGGTGTGGAGGTTGATCGCATCCAGCTTGTCTCCTCGCGTCGTAGCCACAGCCAGCTAGACGCCCGCTCTGCAGCCTGGCTCAGCTTCTGGATTGCCCGGCGCCTGTCTCTGCCAGTGGTGCCAACAGCTGTCATCAATCTACATACAGATTGCGCACAGAACCCTCTAGCGCCTACTTCGATGGGGAATAGCCAAGTCCGCCAACCTCGGTGTCGGCACTGCTCAAGTAGTTCAGTGTACTTGGCCTTCTTCCTCTCATAGGCCTCTTCACATCTCGTCTCCCAAGGTACTGTCAACTCGATGACAACGAGCTTCTTCCCTGTCTCGGACCACAGTACAATGTCTGGTCTCAAGTTGGTCTGGACGATACCCGGGAACACAAGCTTCTTTCCTAGATCGACTGACATATTCCATCCTGTGGCGCCGTCAAGGATCGATTTCTTCTGTGAAGCTTCTGTCTTCGCAGTTTCACCCGGTCTCACAAAGTTGATGTGGCCTGCCTGTGAGTTACTTCTGCGTGGCTTCTTCTTCTCCCCTTCCAGCCAATCGGCAACCTCTCTGAGGACGTTGTCGTGTCGCCAGCGATATCTGCCCTGCGTCAGTGCTGTGGAGCAGGAAGATAAAACATGTTCCAGAGTGCCTGGTTTCTTGCACAGACTGCATGTTGGGTCTGTGATTAGTCCCCATCGACAGAGGTTAGCTGGAGATGGCAGGAGGTCATGAACTGACCTGAGGAGGAAGGATAGACGAAGTGGTTCATACTTCCAGATGTCTTCCCAGGTCAGCTTCCTTTCCATGGTTTCCCACGTTGTCCATGCACCCTGCGCACCCATCTCTACCGCTCTGGCTGTCTCTTGTTCTCCTCTTCCTTCCGTACTTCTGACTGTATCAGGGCTCGTTTCTCAGTCTGGTTGGCTTGGCTCCATAGGAGTGTTTTGGTTGCACCAATACCTTGTCGTCCGACAGCCGTTACACCGACGATGTCCTTGTGCATGAGTGAGCTCTCCACCTGGCTGACAGTCTCTGTCGCTGACCACTTTCTTCCAGTACGGGTAACGATCCCTGCTTCCCGGATCTGCTCATCCGGGGAGTCTCTTAGGGTAAGCACCAGTCTTGTCTTCGCCGTCTTGAATTCTTCTACCAGTGAAGATAGTGGGAGTTGCAGTTTGTTGGTTTTCCCATACAGTCCAACACTGGAGAAACTGGGTGGGATTCCTAGCCACTTGCGAAGATGTCGGCTGGTGATTCTCTCTAAGGCTTCTATTGTTGAGCTGGGTACCTCGTACAGCATCATTGGCCAGATCAGCCTTGGTAGTAAGGCATGCTGGTATAGCCAGGCCTTGAACTTCCCAGGTAGGTTGCTCCGGTCTATCTTCTTCAGTCCGTCTTCTACCTGGTTCTCTAGCTTCTTGACGTTGTCCTTGTCTACTAGGCTGGCATCAAACCACTTCCCAAGGCACTTGATTGGGTTCTTCGTGATGGATGGGATCTCCTCGTTCTGTACTCGGATCACGAATCTGTCTGTCGTCTTGCCTTTCTTGATAATGAGGGACCTGGACTTTGCGGCCTTGAATTTCATACGGGCCCATGACGCGACGTCTGTCAGTGCTGTCAACATCCATCTAGCCTGGACGTGTGTTGGTGTCGTCAACGTGAGGTCATCCATAAAACCTCGGCTTGATGGGAGGTAGATACCTGACTCAGTCTTTGGTCCGCGGGTCTCTCTAATGGCAGCATTGATGAGCAGATTCATCCCCATGACGAAGAGTACCACAGAAACAGTACATCCGGTGACTATACCTTTCTCCAACTTCTGCCACTTCGTCAGCTGGTCGCCAACAGAAAACCGAAGCTTGATGCCGTCAAGGTAGCTGGTGATGATTTTCTGGACATGGCTGTCGACGTGGTAGTGCTGGAGGGCTGTGTAGATCAGCTGATGGGGAATAGCTCCGTATGCGTTGGCAAGATCGAGCCAAACTACTGCCAAGTCTTTCTTCCCCGTCTTCGCCTCTTGGATTAGTTGGGTGATGGCGCTGGTGTGCTCTACACAACCGGAGAAAACCAGGTACTCCACCCTTCTGGACTGAAGTGTCGATGTACGCGTTGGTCGTCAGGAAAGAGGTAAGTCTTCTGGCCAGGATAGCGAAGAATATCTTCCCCTCGACATTTAGTAGCGAGATGGTCCGGAACTGATTGACTGTCTTGGAGTTCCTTTCCTTGGGCGTGAATATTCCCTCTGCTTCCTTCCAGGCTTCTGGTACTTCCCCTTTCCTCCAAACCACCTTGAGGAGTCTCCATAGCCTCTTCAGTAGGAGTGGGCACATCTAGTACACTTTGTACGGGATGGCGTTAGGACCAGGAGTAGAGCCCCATCGAGCCTTCTTGACGACGTCCTTCACCTCTCCCAAAGTGGGTTCAGTGGTTACCAGTGGCGTCTCTGGAGGTAAGGCAGGATCTATCCGGTCACAGTCCCCTAGGGCGTCTTCTCTGTTGACATCTGAATGCGTATCATGCAGGTACTTCTCAACCTCTTCAAGTGGGGTCTCTAATGTTCCTGAACGCTCTTTGTCAAGCAGAGTCTTCGCAAATTTGTATGGGTTGGCTGTGAACGCAGCTCTCTTTCTTGTTCGCTCCCTCGCTTTTCTCCTCGTGTTCTCAGCTCGCCGCAGAGACTTCAACTGTGTGCGCAGTGTGTCACGTAGTTGGGACAGGCCAAGGCGCTGCACTGGTGAGCTGTCTCGGTACTGCTTCTTCAGCTGTCTGATTTCTTTCCTCAGGTTCTCTATGCGGTGTTGCCTCCGGTTCGGCTTTGGAGCCTCCTTGCGTTTCTTTGTTTCTTCAATCCCAAACCTCTCCCTTGCAACAGAGTATACAAGGGTGGAAAGGGTGTGTAACTTCCGGTGTACTGGACCTTGCATGGATGATTCGAGGATGATGTCTAGGTCCTCGTCAAACTGTTTCCATGGTGCCTTCTCAGATGCCTTGGGCCACTTGATCTTGGGTGTTCTTGTGGTAGGCATTGGGCGTGGTCGGTCAGGGACGGCCTCTTGCTCCTGTGGTTGGCTGCTAGTGTCCTGCGAGTAATTCTGTAGCTCTAGGAGGGGGTCGTCTTCATCCATCATTGGATCCTGGGTGGCATCGTGCGCTGTCTCTTGAGCGGAGAGTTCATCAGTACTGTGGGTAGTCTCCTGACTGGAGTACTCCCGCGTCTCACTAGCCATACTGGCTATGCGCTGCTCAAGTGGCCTCACGCGCTGGCAACCAGACTTCCCCTGGTGAATGCGTAACCCTCGTTGGTTTTTGCAGACTTTGCCACAAGGGCAAATTACTGTCCCTGGTGCTGAGTTCGTAGTCGATTGGGCAGGCCGTGTCGATTCCATAAAATCCGTCCATGTGAGTCTTTCATCCCCCCCCTCTCGGAAGACTCTGGGGGTGTCTTTCATTAGTGGAGTCTGTAGCTTGTCTGTGGGTGTCTTCTCACGAAGACTGCACGTCGGGATGCTACCCGTAGTGCCCCGGTTCCAGTCTGTTCCTGTACAAGTTCAATTTCAAATATATGGACGATGTACATAGAATAGTATATTTTCACTTTCATAATTATCAAGTAAATTAAGCAATTAGATATATGAGTAATTGATGGAATTAAATATATAGAGGATATTTGTTTGTTTGTGTGTAAGATGAAATTTTATTTCATCGAGTGGGCTTTAAAAACAGTTTTCTCACGAGTGGCGAAGCCACGAGTGAGAATACTGTTTTTAAAGTTCACGAGATGAAATAAAATTACATCTTACACAACAAACAGACAAATTTTCTTTTTATTTTATGCTTAAAAACAAGTTAAAACGAAATTTCCATAATTTTAACGTTAATATTAAAACTGTTTCCCCCATTGAGACCCCCATTTATTCGGAATTTCTCATTAAAAAAAAGAAGTCTTGAGCTGAAAAATAAGTCCGCCAATCAACATTAAATGACGGTGATATTTATTAATTTTATTAAAAAAATATGAATGATCGCTTGTTTTGATAATAAAAACAAACAATTCTTGTAGGAGAAAAAGTCCAACCATCCATCCATATTTCTGTTACTTAGTGCGAATTTATATTAGACCTGGCTTTGTAAATTGTAAGCGGCAGCCATTTTTTAAAGTTGTGTATTTCATTGGAGGAAAATAATTGTGTAAGATTCAGAGGGATATATTTTGGATTTGTTATTCATACACATTTTTAAAAGAAAGAAAACTTATTTGAGGATTGTAACAGACAAAAAATAAGTGTTGACAGATGTGAAAACATTCAGAAAAGGAGCTAGGAAAATGGAAAACTTGGAAACCTGCTCAAGAACGCTGGGTTGATTTAACTTATTCTTCGAGTTATGGCTGTCAATGCTTTCAATTTTTCATAAAGCATACGGCAGTTATTGCTCGTAGGATACTTTAATATGCCCAAATGTCATCAAGAGCAGTTTTGCATGGGGAAGGAATGTATTTTTGAGACTGTCAAAATGAAACAAAAAAACGAAATTTGCCTTTATTTGGTGATTGGAATTTCATGAATTTGAATGAATAGAAGTAAGTTTTCTTCTTTTTATTACTTTTGACATTTAAGTTATTAATCAATTTCAGTTTTGCTTTTTCTTTAAACAGCCTGACATTGTCAGAATTGTCAGCAAAGATAAAATTGAGGTACCACATGGGGAAAATCTTAAAAAAGTAGTTTCGTCATTGAAAAGAGTGAAATTATATTTTGATAATTTTCACTGTGAAATTACCAAATATAATTTTCACGGATAAATCAGTAATCCACTGAAAAGCATAAAATAAAAGTGAGTATATAAGGCTTCGTCTAAACATAAAAGCTTTCACAATATATTTTGCTGTTTTTCTAGCATTTTCATTTACTAAAAAGGTCAGTCTATCTTCTTTATTTTTATTAATATAGGATGGATCTGACAATAAATCTTCGAACACTTGCTGTCTTATATTATCATATTTTGTGCATTCTACGAGAAAATGAGTTTCATTTTCTATTTGTTCTTGGTCACAGAATGTACATAATCTCTGGTTTACATTTTCACCAATAAAACGTCCTGTTTCTACTCTTAAGGGTAAAATCCCACACCGAAACTGTGCTAACATCGAGCGTTCATTCTTCTCTAAATTTATTTACTTGTATTTTATATTTAAAAAGAGAGACTATGTAGCAATTATCAATATTTTCAAACATCAAATTTGAGCATAGTATATCTTTAATGAGTTGTTATATATACATTAATTATCACATGATACATTGTATAAAATTTATGTTAATAATGCATCATATATAGGATAGGGCTATTTGAATAATTTATTTGACTATGTATTCCCCTCATATGCTTGCTGTGGTTATGAAACATTGCTTCAGCCAAGCAAGTCAAATAGTATATATGATTATAACAGTAATATATTAGACGAAGGCTATACTTGTGAACCTCAATATTAATCCTCTTATATTATTATTAATTGAAGTATTTGTTTTGCAAGAGTTTATTGTTTGCAAGTGTAAGTTGCTAAAATGATGTTTCTTAACGCGACATCAACTGAATTACCTTCACTGTACATGTTTATTGTTTTCTTGAATAGAAGCATAAACATGTATTTGCATGGTTACATGCATTGGTTGGAACCCTTCCATACATTATACATTTGTATATTGATATCTTAATGTTAAACTAGTGGTAAAGTGTCCACGCAGATTGCAAGAGGTCAGCAGTTCGATTTCTGGGGTGTCGTACTTTACAAGTCTCGCAAACCAGTAACAGCGTCTCCCTCGTTTGGCATTCAGCTGGATGACTGGAAATTTTTTGAAGGGTATAAACAAGCCCGTTCTTTGCCATATTTATCACTTTTCATCGTTCAAATGCTGGGGTATTGAATCACTTTGAATATCGCCCCAGTTAACAAATTCCTACCATTCAAATACAGTTTTGTACTATCCTTTAGTCCGAGACCAATATCTCGGAAGTGTGACAAATATATACATGTATGTACATCGATTTACCTGTCTATCCAGCCGCTACACAGTCACGCGTGCAAGACTCAACACTCCGACCAGACTTTACTGCTGGCAGTTTGATTTAAGTATTTTGATAATGAAATTCCTCATATTACGGATAGTAAAAAACGAGTTTTATACACCTAAATATAATACAAACACTATTTGGAGTAACCCTTTTATTAACAAACAAAGACAAGTATCAGATAACAGTAACATCAAGTTGATTAATTTGGTTATCACTACAAGAACATTATAATCAGAAAATTTATTTGAAAAAAAAAAACCCAACAAACATTTAAAATATACAAATATGGGTCTGTCTTTGTTTGATCGATTTAAACTATTGTCCAGCAACGTTTGTTCGAAATAATTCCGCTCTCCCTCTCATCTTTGAGTATAAAGAATCATGTAAACACAGGCAAGTAAAGAGTGCAAGATGCATTCTTAAAAAAGTAAAAAACAACAACAATTACACGATAGTCATAATAAAAACACAACATATAGGTTATAGAATATGCGTATACTGTTTTCACGAATTCATAGCACTATCTCGGTATTTGCAGACTGATATTTAACCTTTGATCTCTAAGAACGCATATAACCAGTCCATGGTTTACAGAACGAACTCGTCCGGCTCCTCCTTTTCCGGTTTCTTGATTTCTTCGACTGGTTTGATATTACTGAAGTCGCAGACGTCATACAGTCCTGGTTTCGCCGGAAGCGGGTCTGTTGAGTAATACAGAGCGGGCTTTGCATTCTTTTCTTCGTTGGGTGTTTCTAGTTCGTTGTTGAACTGGTACCATTTTCCAGCTTGGTTCTTTCTGGTTTTGTATAAGGCACATCCAGCTACAAGTGCCGCCGTGAATGCAAATATTGCGCCAATCAGAGAAGCGATTACAGAATATGGAGCATGGACTTTGATCATAGATTTCTGGTGAGCTCTGTGTACACTGTAGTGTCCAAGCCGGGCAACAGGCACGATGGCAATGAACGCTGTTAATAATGAACAACAAAAAATAAATCGTTGGTTTACACATTTTGTATAAAAGCAAAATTATGACCAGTTGACAAAAAGGAACGCTGTCATGAAAATAAAATATAAAATAAAAAGATATTCTGAACGAACACTAAAAAGGTGTCGGATCGTAGGCCTGAAATGTATGCAATGTTAAAAAACTTTAGACACTTAAAAATGCTTGGACTGCCTAAGATCTTGAGTTACGTGGTATATATTAGTTGTAAGTTCAATATAGATTAAACATTTCTTTTTTTCACGAAATTTAAGTTTACTGACGGCGTAACGTGACTCTGTCGTAACTGAATGGAAAAGATAAAGACAGGTTTGCTGTAAATCCTCCATATACGATAATAATTTCTGTTATTTATTATTTTCTCTCGGGATTTGAATCTCACAATTTAATCAGTAATATTAAACTGTTGAAGTTACATTGTACGAGAAATAGTCAGATTACAATGTAATATGTCTTCTTTTTGTTAATTTTCCTATCTTTTCGTTACTTTGAAGCAGTCATCGATTTTCCCGGAAAGAACATTGAGCGAGACAAAGTCAGCGTTAAAACTTTGAAATAAGATACATTATCTATGTCATATGACAGAAATCAACACTCCATTGCTTAGAATCTGTAAGATATTTTATTACTCTCCTCAGATTGCGTCACGTGACCATCATATGATATCAAGTCACGTGTCAGGCAATAATACAACTTGATAATATTCATAAATTAAACATTTTACTGGTTTTAACTATTATATTTTAATCAATATTCATTTAAGAAATGATTATGTCATTCTCATCATAACACTTTCATTATAACTATTAAATTGAACGTATTTCTATTGCGTTAATAGCAATATTTAAGGAAAAACTGTATTGATCTGAAACATTTTTATCATTGTTATTGTTATACGTTTAAAGGATCTAAACGTATAAGATATTAATAAGAAATATATGTTTTTTTCCTCTCAAACGAACAGTCAATTAAATACCATTTTACTCAACTTATTTTTATTATATAATTATATCTTGTGGAAGAGCACTAATTAAAGTGTGCTGTTGTTTAAAAAGTGCCTGCAGTAGGCACAATTAGCCTTATACGATTGAGCCCTTAATTTTCATAACTATTTTTTCTACGATTGTAAGAAAACTTCAATAGCAACTTCTCGTCCCTTTCCGTTAAACTTCGGATAATGAATAATAGCCGAGATGTTTTGATTGGAACAACTTATGATATCGTGAAAATAACTTCTGTTTTGTTACAACCATGTTATGCATTTTAATTACATAACGACCTGCATATGACACTTGCAGTTCTCGAGCCTACAAATATACATGTATTACCATTTCTCATACTTTTTGACAAGTTTGTAAGTGCATTTTTAACGAATTCCACTAAATATTAAAATGAATTGAAGATGCTCTTTCCGCCTATAAAGCTTAGACTAAGTGTATTAATTTAACGGCTGTTGACTTAAATATGATAACAGTAAATAAAGCTGGTGCCTTAATTAAATCTGTTGTTGGATTGTTGTTATATTATTTTTTCTGTTCTAAATTAGATTGTTATTTAGTATTTATAAATGTACATGTGAAATTAAGTTGTTAGAAACGTCACAACCAATCAATAAACATAATTATCATCAAGATTAATTAGTACCGCTATATATGTGTCGTTTTTATTCAGTTTCATAACAAAATAATGTATATGTACCCTTATTTTTCAGGAAGTGTACGTTGGCTTTATCTTTTAATCAATGTTTCTATGGATATAACTTCTGTATTTTTTATTCTTAGGAATCGTTCCCATAGTAACCAATATAATGAATTCTGAACGTTTATTAGAATCAGTTTATGATCACATATATCCGCATTTATTTGTATCAATTTAAGCTCGTTTTGTAGCGATTTATTTTGTAATTTGCTGGCTTAATTCGACGTTGCGGCTAATTTTGATATTAAAGCTAGCTTATTTGCTAATTAAGATTAGTTTCGTATTGCAATCTAACTGCATCAATTAGGAACTGATTTTAGTATGATCACAAAATTCTAAATACTACATCACTGACTTACCCATTGCACATAGTTTCAGACAAAACATTCTTTTCATAGCTACAGACGGTGAAAATGGCATGGCGGAAATGATGCTTTAAGAAAATGTTGTAGTATATGGTAGATAACGCAACATATATTAGTCCGTGATTGATCATGTACATGTATATGTATATGTAATTGAACATGTACTGTGCATGTAATTTATCATGTGTATGTACTGTACATGTAATTTATCATGTGTATGAACTGTACATGTAATTTATCATATATGTAATGGATAATGTATGTGTACAGATAATTGGTCACCCATGTGTACATGTAATTGATCTTGTGTGTAAATGTAATTTAATATGTGTATACACATGTAATTCATCGTGTATGTACACATGTAATTTTTCGTGTATTTACACATGTAATTTCTCATGTATGTACACATGTAATTTCTCATGTATGTACACATGTAATTTCTTGTGTTCATAGTAACATAGTAATCGATCATGTATGTGTACTTGTAATTTATCATATCGTAAACATGTAATTCAAATTACTTAATCTCACATTAAAGCAATATTAACGTACAGGTAAACATACATTTTCTTATATTTACCTTATTCTATTATTAGAATGAAAACAAGGATATTACCTGTTTATAACAGTAAATATATACATGTACGTACATAATCTTTTTGTTACACAATGTAAAACATTTTTCCTTTGCCAAATACAAAAGAAATATATAAACATATTTTATTTCAAAGTCTCTTTGTTAAAATAAATATTTTATGGAAGCTTGCCAAGCAACTGATCTATAACATTTTAAGTTACAATAAACTTTATAAGTGTCGGTATGAAATAAGATAGCTCTCGCGCAACCAAAGTAATTGCTATTTTAAGAACTTTATAAATGCACTTCTCAAAAGTCACACATGCAAAACATGCACTTAGTCTTAGTCATCAATATAATATCGGAAACCTATTTAAAAAAAGTAGGGATTTTTGTCCGCCTGCATTAACCAAGTTTTGCAAAAACACCCCCAAATAAATAAATAAATGGATAAATAAATAAATAAAAAAATGAAATAAAAAATAAAATAAAATAGTTGAAGGTATTCATCTACAATGAAGCTGTTGAAAATGATGTTAATATTTTTGCAAGTTTAAAGCGCGTTTACTCCTCTTTGGTCCAGTTATATTCAGACAAAGGTTTCATTTTATTCACATAGTTTTAGATAGTAGTTTAGAAAATAGCAAACAAAAATTTGGAGAGACCTCACTGCCAGTGAAATAAAACAGGATAAACAACACAACTCGAAATCTTTATAGTCTTAAATTGTTTAAATCACATTTCAAACATTATTATTATCTAAAGATGAATTGTAGAAAATTTACCTATACTATAATATAATATTATGTCTGTCTTCTTTGTTGATTAAGATTTACTGAATGTTGTAATCTTTATAATTGCTTGAATATGTCCGTTGTTATGTTTATGTTTTATTGAACGCCTTGTTAAAAATAAGATTTTGCATTATAAGTGTTGTATCTAATGCTTTGATGGTCTTAATAAGTTACCTTCGTTAAATAAAGAATTTATTCTAATTTGAGCCGCGTCACGACAAAACCAACATAGTGGGTTTGCGACCAACATTGATCCAGACCAGCCTGCGCATCCGCGCAGTCTGATCAGGATCCATGCTGTTCGCTTACCATTCCTATAACAAGTATAGAAACTGATAGCGAACAGCATGGATCCTGATCAGACTGCGCGGATGCACAGGCTGGTCTGGATCCATGCTGGTCGCAAACGCACTATGTTGGTTTTGTCATGACGCGGCTCAAATAATAATCAAAAGCTCACCTGCTAGAAGCATGAAGATAACGCAAGCAAGCCGGGCACATCTACATCCGTTTGCGTTCTTGAACCCAACGACGGCAGAGATCAAACCAAGAACCATGAAGGCCAACACCAGGCAACTCTCAATTTGGTGCTCCTTGAGACTTGCCATACCAAAACCTGTAATTATTGATCGGACGTTAAGACAATAAAATTCATTTACTAACAAACGAAATGATGATGGTCATAAAAAGGGGTGGGGGTGCGGAAACCACACGCAGACCACAGTTTGTTACTATATATTATGCTCCGGACAAGGAAAAATAACATAGGGCAATAACTCTGTAATTAGTCATGATTGAGTTATGGTTCTTAACATTATCAAATTCATGTTTTCCCTTCTAAAGAAGGAAAAAGGCATAATGCGCCTTTAAACGTAGAATCATACAAGTGAATATTACTCTACATGAAACTAGAAAGAATTCTGATTTTTTTCCCTATCCATGTTTCTTTAATTACACATATATACATATCTCTTTATAACTAACATGTTATCTGATATAATTTAAAGGTATCTAATGCTCCAAAGCTATTTCACTGTGACACAGTACAGCGAAATGTCATTCATTCATGTTATACAAGTGTAGAAATTATATGAATATTTTCAAAAGATTTAAAGCACACGCTGTTATATAATGTTGATTTAATTTATTTTCGAACATTTGATTAAGAAGTGGTAACTGCCAAAAATTAGACTAAAACATTCTATACAGTAAGGTTCTTAAATGTTATGATTTAAGCATATAATTCGGTTTTAATTCAGGGTTTTAAACGCTGTATAATAGCGAACCATACGAACTTAAATTTTAAAGGCCCATTATGCCAAAGTATGCTTTATTTTTCATTTCTTAAAAGCTTTTTTTTTATTTTTGGAGTGATATTTCAATAAATATTCATTTCAGAAATGACTATGTCATTCTCATAACACGGTCATTTTAACTTTTGAATCAAGCGCATCTTAGCAATATTGAGGCCCATTTTGCACAATAAATGCTTTAATTTCTATTTTCCTAAATCTTTTTTTTCATGTCACGCTACAGTTTCCAAAAAAGTTACTCAATGGCCAATTACTTGAACCATCTTTTGTTTCTGTTACTATTTTGGCAATAAGAATTTAAGTGATTTAGTATTTTGTCTGAAAGTCAAAATACTACATTGTTTACATTTTTGCTGCTTTTATTACAAATATATTGTCACAATCAACACTACTTTTGCCAGGTAATAAACATATTACATGCCATTATTTTAACATTATTAAACTCATGTTTGTTCTTTTAAAGACAAAATCATTTCTGAGGCACAATGTGCCTTTAAACAATGTCAGATGTGTTTATAAACATAAGCATAGCATTAAGCCCCTTCACATTTTAAATGGATCCGTGGACAAGATCATTCATCATTTTCAGTGAAAATTTCAAAATACATGTATGTACTGACTGAATAAGCGACCAGTGCAGACCGTGATTAGATGACACGGACCTGTCGGCCGATCTTGGTTTGCACTGGTCGCATGGGTAGTTTCTGTAGCCGCAAGTAGGCCAAGGGTTAGTAAGTAACTTACTCTTGTAACTCAGACGTTCACCGTGACGTGGTACGTACATAAAGTCTTCGTACATGCTAGCATAAGACAAGGCACATTTGGTTGACATCTTTTTACAATGATGACGTTCTAGAAAAAAGAAACGGTGACATCATAAATAATAATATTTGCTTTAAAGAAATAAATTTCATTTAGAAAAAAACGTATTTAATAGCTATTATGCCCTTAAAATATATTCACTACTTTAAGTAACTTAATTTAATTTAAAGAATACATGTACATGCATATCATAATATCATATATAACATATATCACTTTGAGAAAAGTCAAATTATTTATTTCTCTTTAATCAGTTTAATTTGCGTAATAATTTCGCCATATTTTGGATATTTAACAGCCATTTGAAGGCATTTTAATATCAAAATAAGTGTTATGAAAATATTATATATAATAAATTTTATAGTTTAATAAAGTTTGTTTTTCAGCGACAATGATTTTAAATAGTACACGTCATAGTTTATTATTTTTCGGCACTTTCAAAAATGAAAAAGGAGGATCATGTAAGTGTACCAACATTGAAATACAAAGAAGAAAAACAGGAACGATGTTCAATTCAGTTCACAAATGGAATATATCTTAAAATATTAAGACTCAACAAAACTCAGTTCAATCGCGAAAATAAATAACTATGTTAAAAGATTTCATGTTTTTTACTTTTTCTGTCGTCGTCTTCACTAGACGATTCTCTAGACGATTCAGCCATGTCGTCCTTGTCGTCCGAGTCACTATCACCATCCATGCGACGCTTATGAATACACATTACTGAGTACCAAAGACCGTAACTTGTTCGAACATCGAAAGATTCAATTTCCGCCTGAAATAACGTTTTGTTAACTTGATACAAGTTTGCATGAGGTCAATTTGAAGCAAATTGCAATCCTCATAAGAATTTAAGTCTTTCTTTTTTTATATTAAAATAGTTTTCAGAAATTTAATGTGATCCCTCAATCTTCACCAGCCCCCAACCAATTTCCTTCCATGTTTTTAAAGGTTCGCCAGTTTCAGGCTTATATCTCTTTGGTCTTGCTCATAAAATACTTATATAGTTATGAGTGCCTATTTTTCAAGACGTTGAATTTAATTAATGCATGTGTTAATTTTACTGAACTTACGGAAAAATTAAAAAAAAAATTTATAGCTGACAAATTTTAGAATGTTTAGAGGAAACAGCGAAGACTTACCGCTGTTTTCATCATCCAAGATCCCACTTCGGAATTCTCTTTCCTCATATCCTCATTCATTTCACTAGGTGGCATTCTTGTAGATCCATGATGGGGTCTATTATGGCCGCCGTGATGTGGTCCATGATGGCCGCCATGATGTGGTCCATGATGGCTACGGGAGTCCCCTTCTTCGGAACTGTCGGTATCATCGTCGTGGGATCTTTTCTTCCTGAACATAGCTCTCGGCTCATCATCTTCTGGCTGAGGTGCGGGAAGTCCGCCGTCGTCAATAGGCTTTCCTTCCATTGGGAATAAGGAATCATCTCCGACGGACCGCCTCAAGATTATCCATCCCGGCGCCACAAACCCGACGATGTGGAAAAATAAAGCAAATAAGCACAGCACAAGAATCGCACACAGATACGGCCGTTTCTCACACGCCATCTTGTTTACTTTATTAAAGCGAAAACTTTCTTCTGTAATGAATTTTGTTGTTGTCTCACCGCTGCCTGATCGATTACTACCTATAACATCACAATTTCTAAAAGGTACGTAAATGGAAAATCAATTTGTTCACGCGGCGGTTATTGCAACTCTCTAGAACGGTGAACTACTGTTACAAAAATACTCGTACATTATTCAAATATGAACAGGACCGAATAAGGTACGTTATCCCAACACTACATCATTGTGATGACTTTATTTTGGCGTCAAAAAAGCAGGAAAATTGTCTAACTCAGACGTGCGAGAACGTAGCGTAACATAACTGTCTAAGCAAGGCAAGTACATAATTATATATCTATATTTTTACCGACTCTGGACGCCTTTCTTGTTTTTGTTTTTTAAAACTGACGTATTAACATTATTTTTACACAATGTTAATATGTAGTTAATAAAAAAAATGACAATAATTTATTGATCCCTTAAAATATGAATAAACATATTTCTGCTCATTCTGCTCTCTTAACTACTCGACCGGGTGGTTGCTGACTCCAAACCTCTTGCGGTCGTTTCCCGACGCTTAAACTTCATTTCTCATAAAAAGGTGTAGTTATCTATATGTATATGTACTCGAATTTGCAGCACATGTTACAGTCTCTGTCATCGTTCAAAGACATTTTTCACTGATTATTTTTGCATTTACAGCGTCTTGCCGAAAACTGTTTAAGTGTCACCGCACACTGCCCATAATTTGCCAACGTACACATTCCAATAGAGTGTATATAACGAATCGTGATAAGACCATCTATTTTTAGATAATCTACCCGTATTCAGCTTAACTGGACCAAAACGAAAATACATTAACAAAGAAGAATCGTGACTGTAGTCAGGAAAAAAAAATAATAGTAAGGATATCATTTGACAGCTTCATAATATATAAGGTTGAAAAAATGTCACGTTTTAAGCACTTTAGTATTAATTTCATTGCGAAATCATTGTTGCATTTCTTGCAACTGTTTATAATTTGATGTGTATGGTTTATTGCGAGCACAAGCAGCATGGTTACTTCCGGCCATAGCGTGATTTATTGCTAATTTGCATCATTTCTTGAGATGCATTTACCCATAGTTATAACTGACCTACTTGTAGATTTCCATGACAAGTTGGAAGAAAATGCGCGCGATCTTTATGACAAAATGTCTCTTATTTATGTGTTTAATTTCTTCGGACGATAAAATTTAGCGATGATTGCAATCAAAATATTCTTCTGCTTCAATATATTGTTCAAAAGTGCAATCTATTCAGTATTCAAAATAACTTTCCATTTTAAGGGACGTAATAGATTTGAATAAAAACAGGATCTCAAGTCCTAGCTCAGATTCTTCTTCACGTGAAAGAACAAAGGGAGAGCTAGGTATGGCGGCACAAACGTGACATGTGCGTTTTTTTATTCATCTCGTGCGCATGAGATGTCGTGGCCACGAGTTACTAAGTCGTGGCCACGAGATAGCTAAGTCGTGGCCACGAGATACCATGGATGTCTTGGCCACGAGTTACTAAGTCGTGGCCACGAGATAGCTAAGTCGTGGCTACGAGATACTACGTCGTGGCCACAAGTTTCTAAGTCGTGGGAACGAGATAACTGAGTCGTGCACACGAGATAATTAACAAATCAGAAAACACTATATATTTCATAATTTTTTTTTAACTTCACAACTTACTTTTACATGCAACATTGATCTTTGAAAATACCGAAGATATTCTCTTTGAACTTGTCTTTAGAATCATATTAAAAAGTCACCTTCCAAGGCCCATCAGACAATGGTTTTGACTACAGCCCTTTGTTGGAACAATTTTGTGACCGAATTGGTCAGTTTGTACGTACTACGGCCTGTTAACCTTGTTTATACGATAACATGAGAAGGAATAAGTCCTGGTTTATTTTATTTGGAAGGGACATTGCCCATGGACAGTAGATAGCCTATAAGGATGTTTGAGGTCAAGGGTCAAGGTAACCATGACACTTCATGTAAAATCCTTGTCTGATGAATAATTTAGAAGGGATAAGCCATGGTTTATATAACCCAGAAAGATCATTGCACCTGATCAGTAGATGACATCTAATAATTTCGAGGTCATTGGGTCAAAAATCAGGGTCACAGTGACGCTAAATGTAAAATTATTGACCAGTCAATAAGTTGTATAAATGGCACTTTTACAGGCTGGTGAAGCAGGGCTAGTTAATTAGGGAAATTCATATAAATGGTGTAATCTGATTGGTTATTTATCTCGTGGCCACGACTTAGTAACTCGTGGCCACGAAATAGTATCTCGTGGCCACGACATAGTATCTCACGAAATAGTATCTCGTGGCCACGACTTAGTAACTCGTGGCCACGACATAGTATCTCGTGCGCACGAGATAAATAAAAACACACACATATCACCTTTGTGCCACCGTAGCTAGGTGTGAAGGAGTGAAATTATTGGTATTCTTTATTAAGAGATTCGTAACTACACGTTGGATACAATGTTTCAGGGGAAACAACATTGATATAGGTTTGCATTGTAAAGATATATATATAGAGATAGTCCCTTGTATGTTACTTCCCTTTAATAAATTCAAACCTGCTTACTCCTGCACAATATGAACCATACAAATGTTCAAATTTAAAGAAAATAAGACTGATTTTTTTATGTGCGCTGCAGACACACGCACGAAACAGCCTCTTTCTTTCCCATGTATATATATATATATATAAGTTAGGTAGAAACCTGAAATTCTCGAATCAAAAGTTTGTAAACAGTCGAGGATTGGTTTCAGATACTAGTAATGAATAAGGGCATGCATGGTGATAAAACATGCAGGTAACTCTCTGCAAAAACAGGGAGGATGACACAATAAACTTCCGTCCAAGACAGATCATATTACCTGAAAACATGATGAGGTAAATTGACGGTATACATTGTATTGTATAAGGTATACATTAATTTCACCTGGCAAAGCTTATATAAGTCTTTCATTTTTTAAACTTCCTTTATGATACATTGAAGTTCAAGAATGCTGAACCCTGAAAGTTATCACCAATGGTGACTTTCATTTTCCGCCACACTAGTTAATACAGTCAATACAGATGTGTTGAGTTGGTGGCATAGCGCAAACTTCACCCAGCTTGTACTACACCAAATCTACTGATCTCATAAAGTTTACTGTTTGTATCAAACATTTAATGGTATGTAAAGGTTAAAGAATCAGCAAGGTCAAAGGGTTGTCTAGCTTTCTATAGCTTTTTAACAAAAGAAATGTAAAACTTATTGACCAGTCACCGTGAAAAACAACAATGACTTCCCAAATGCAATTTTGAAGATAGAATAACATCAGTCAGGTAGCAAAAGTTACATATTTAAGACGCTGTCTAGAGTCTCAAATTCACTATAAATTGTTCACCGCTGTGTCAAGTCAGGTTTTGTATCCAAAGACCTGAAACTGATACGCAAGATTAAATTTATTTTTATGTCAAATGCATGTATTTCATTCTTTGTGAAACATTTAAATTTCGTTTAGCCAATCTGCCCCGGTATTTGGAAACAAAAACAGCAATGGAGAGAGGACGGACATTTTATGTTGCGTTGGTCGGTGGAATTATTGCATTAGTGCTGTTATTGGTTTCAGTAAACCTTCCGGCACAACTTGTGATCGAGTCTAAACCTTACACTCTCGTTGTCTTGAAAAGTGGCAAGCTGGATGGTTGGACTGCTAAGGAACTCGGACTGTCGTCTGCTGAATTCGAGCTCGTGAAAAATAATTACGCGCAGTTTCTTAGCAGACACCAAACATCAGACTACAGTGATTCTAGTGATTCTAGTGAGGAGGACGATAATGACGGTAAGTATGCATCATCATTATCATCATCATAATAATAATAATAATAATAATAATAATAATAATAATAATAATAATAATAATAATAATAATAATAATATTAATAATGATAATAATAATAATAATAATTATAATTATAATAATCATTATAATCATCATTATAATTATCATTGCCAACAGCAACAACAACAACAACACATCATCATTAATAACAACAGCAGCAGCAGCAGCAGCAGCGGCAGCAGCAACAACAACAACAACATCACCATCATCATCATCATCAACATCATCATCAACAACAACAACACAACAACATTATCATCATATTTATCAACAACATCATCATCATCATCATTTTTATCAACAACAACAACAACAAAATAATATAATCATTTCATTAATTATTATATAATTTTATTAACTCTATTATTATCATTGTTGTTGTTTTTACTATTGCTGTCATTATTATCAGTTATTCTTCTACTTCATTCTTCATCATCTTCTTCGTTATCGTGTCTTGTACGACTATGAAAATACACATTTTTTCCAGGTACCATAATTTTAATATAAACTCAGAGCAGAGTCAACGTATAAGATCTTAAAACTTTTATTATCTTTCATCTGGTCAATAGCCGTCGGTCATTTTATACAGCATTGATAAAAAGTTAAAAACTTGCTATTTTTGTTGTTAGAAATACTTTCTATCTGAATACAATATAAACCTGAATTCAACGTATTGGATTTTTAAGCTGTAACCATTTATCAAACATACAGTTATTTTTTTTAATTATTATTATTATTATTATAAATTTATTGGCGACTACAATTTTTTATCAATTGCTTACAATTAAAATAATAGAAATAGATATCATTATACTGCGTATTACTACTTCAATTTTGCTTTCTGCTTTTTGTAGAGTATTCACGTACCTGGCTAAATCTAAAGCAGTTTTATTCAATATTACAATTGGTTTTGCACATTAAAGAATGCAGTCAATAACTTCCAGCCTTTGTACCGATAAAAATCATTATTGGATCCAATACCAATTTGACCTCATTTTTTTCATCTGTGCTAATCCAAAAAATCGGTATCAAATCACCATTGAACTCCGTCAAGTCTCGTTTTCATTTTCAGACAATTTTCATATCAAACTCTTATTGTACCCGAAATAATAAAGTTCTGCCAAAATGTCAAACATTTAGCGGCATTATACATAACTGAGTACAATACTGATTCTATTGGCCTCATACAAAGCTGAAAACCCATGTCATCATTAGACTTAGTGGGTCCGTCGTCCGATATAGGTTTTGACAGCTGTGTTCTCTTCCAACAGAAAACAATATTGTACTCAGCATTGAATAATTACCTCAAAGTATTTTAGAACAGCTTTAAAATGAATTCAGAAACTGAGGTGAACGAGACACCAGGTCCTGGCGGATGCACTTTGTTTCACACGCTCTATGATGGTTTGAAAGATTGATTTCATTTTTGTTTGTGTGTATAACTTAAATTTCAATTTCTTTATTATACTAAGCTACGTTGCAATACTTCTTAAGACCTCCTATTGTTTTATGAACTAGTTTTTTTTTATACTGCAAAGGACCGTTTTGTTTATTTTCTTTCATTTTCACATGCTGGCATCTCCAACGTTTCAACCTTTTGTTTAAATACTACAGCAGGTATTATACCTATCTTTCATTTGAAATGTAGTCTAATCCCTGCTGGAGACGACATAGATTTCATTGCAAATAAAGATGAAACTATTTTGCGAGAGTTCATGTGACCTTAGGCCTAAATTTAAGACGAGTTTCTTTACGGTCTAACAAATTCTTGTTCATTTAATTTTCATCTGGTTTCGCGTTGTCTGTATTGCATTTCAATGTCGCTTCAAGTGACGAAAAATATTCATTTAATATAAATCCAACAGGATTTATGTAACGTAATGGTATATACAAGTTTATCCACCGGATTTATCACCGGTTCCAGCCGGTGTAGCGGACAATAAAAACGTCTTCAGCAATTAAAACTGCGTTACCTTGTTTTGAACATTTCTTATAACTATGGTGGCTGATTTGGAACGCCTTTGTGTGTCGTGTTGGCGCTAGCGACAGCAGAACAAAGCGCCAAACGGTGCGTTGTCGGACTTTCATCTTGTCCTGTCGCTAACGATGTACGCCAAACGGCGCGTTGTGTTGTCGCGATGTCACATTGTCGCTCTATTCAATTCGAAGGATTGGCTTATAAGCCAAGCGACAGTGCGACATCGCGCTGCACGACAACGCGCCGTTTGGTGTGCTGCGCTAAAGAAAAGACTACAGCGCGACAACGCGCCGTTTGGCGCTTTGTCCTGTTGTCGCTAGCGACAAGACGAACAGGCGATAACGATATAGGTACCACATCAGCCACCATATAAACTGTCAATTTTATCTTTATTATACTGTATACTGATATGAACTCTATATAATGCAATATACAGAGGACATCATCATCATCATCATCATCATCATCATCATATTCTTCTCCATTTCCACCCTTACCATTATTATATTGTATTTACACAATAACTTACGTCAAATACTTAATATATATAGAGAGAGATTTAATAATAATAATAATAATAATAATAATAATAATAATAATAATAATAATAATAATAATAATAATAATAATAATAATGATAACAATAATACGTATAGATTTTGAAAAAAGAAAGTTTACTTTTCATAAAGAGCCTCTCATAAGCGTAGATTGTGTTATATTAGACAAAATTTGCTCATTTTAAAATACAGGAACTTTTGTACATGTGATAAGCGGGAAAGATGGCGCTAACGTGACTTACAGTACTGATGAAACAGTGCACAAAGAGAATGCCGTTGCTGAAGGTACTCTTAATAAGAATCATGATAATAATGACAATATCAAGAGAAAACGTGCAGATGATGCAGAAGAAAAAGAAGACGATGACGAAAAAGATGGTTACTTGTTTTTGCTCTCGTTTTTCTGTGTGTGTGTGGGGGGGAGTAGGAGTGGGGGGTTGTTAGGGCGTTGGTACGACTGAAGTCATTAAATTCATACAGTTTATTGATTCTGCAATCTAGCCACAGCCCATCAGTAACTACATTGTATGTCATATTGCCTTTCAAAACTGTACTTTCCATTTTCAACAATGTTAAGTCACAGAAACACAAAATTTAAAATTGTTGCCATGGGCTACTTATGCATAAAACCTAGGATAAAAGTAGAAATGGTGACCATTATTTGTTAATAAACCGGAACCCCACCCCCTAGCACAATCACCCAGTTTAAATTTAAAAGTGTTAAGTCCTATTTCTATAAACTTCAATAAACCGATATTTTTTTCTCTTTAATTCCTGCAATGTCTCAGCCGAATGCAAATTTAAAACTTCTATCTGTAGACAAATTATTTACACATGTATTGTTTTCATTATAAAAATAGTAATTATTCTGATAAACTTGTTTGTTATATAAATTCAGGTGACGAGGAAGAGGAAGGACAAATGACCGCCAAAAATACTATGGATGAAAGTAGTTCCTCATCTAGCGACTCTGACAGTGAAGGAGATTCGGAATCGAGTGATTCGGATGAAATGACGCTCGAACAAAGACTTCAGGTATAATACGTGGAAGTCAGTTATTATAAACGAACCATGTTTCAAATAAAACAATTAATAAATTTATTGATCTATCTGTCAAAAACAATTTCAGCGTCATTTACCTTTCAAGGACGCCGCCATTTTGAACAAAAATATCTCAGATACATTAAAGTCTCAAAACAGTTTGTAAAATAATAAAAGCACAAATGAAAAACTGACATTGACATTTTAATAATTTTCTAGCATTTTTTGTGGGACGTGTCTTAGTCTTCCCTGTATCAGAAAAAAAGTGCTTTTTGAAAATATTAGTGATTTCTTTCCGATATGCACGCACTGGCCGTCGTTACAGACATGGTACGCATGTATGTTACGATAACCCAGTTTGCTTTGCGCAAGTTCAAGCGCCACATTGTTACGCTGAAAATGAGATACTGGTTAGTGACATTCTTATCTTGGCAGGTTCTTAGTGTCTTTATTTTCTCAAGAAAGATAAATGAGCCGCGTAACGACAAAACCAACATAGTGGGTTTGCGACCAGCATGGATCCAGACCAGCCTGCGCATCCGCGCAGTCTGATCAGGATCCATGCTGTTCGCTTACAAACCCTATAACAAGTAGAGAAACTGATAGCGAACAGCATGGATCCTGATCAGACTGCGCGGATGCGCAGGCTGGTCTGGATCCATGCTGGTCGCAAACCCATTATGTTGGTTTTGTCGTGACGCGGCTCAAATGTTCATCATGAAATTTAAGCTTGAATAAAGACTTTTTTCCAAATGCCTAAATCCCTTTGGATGGTGTGCATGTATCATTATTTTTTATTATTGAAAGGACCAGCCCATTACACAGAATATCCGGCTCGGGCTCTTTCATGGAACAGTGTGCTCAGTGATGAAGAACGCGAGGGAGAGGTGTAAATCTGTGTCGGTGAACGAAGCTATATATGCCATGAATCACGATGTTTCTTTTATATCAAGTGGTAATATTTTATTTATAAAAAAAAATGAAAATTTGTAAGCATACGGTATACGGAATCTTGGAACTGTCGGATTATTGGCGAATTAGAGTTAACCGTAGAAAAAGATGGCATGAGAGCTACCACAGAACTGAACTCGTAAAATAAACTTTACATGATTTACAGAGTCCACCTTTCCGGCTTCCTTTCTTTCAGTATTGATACTAAGAGCCGGTGCTTAAAATGAATACGAGGCACTATCTTTTTAAATTGGACAACCTTTGCATCATCCTTCGGGTTTGCAAAACCCTTTTGAATGGTGCAGCTTTATTTGTATCTTTATTTTGAAGTCTTGCTCAGGGTAGAAATGATTAAACTGACCACCCAAGTGAAAATGGTCAGTGAACAGGTAAAACTGAAAATAACTTGACATTTTGTCATAATTGTGTTCAATTTTATATTTTGCTATAAAAAAAATAATGCCCAAGGTAAAGTTCAGAAAGTATCTGTTATGCAGAGTGGGTCTTTCTGTTTGTATTTTAGGTAGATTTTATATTGTATCATACACGATTTCCATTATCAATTACTTTTCAATCACAATTGTTTCAAATGTATTACTATTTCAACTTTACTTGACAGCAAAAAATGAACATGTCACTTTAATACTATTGTTCTAAGGAGATAGCTCTACAGGAGTTTAACGAATCAGAATCATTGTAATAAAGGCGAAAAAGGCTTTACAGGAGTTTAACGAATCAGAATCATTGTAATAAAGGAGCAAAGGCTCTTCAGGAGTTTGACGAATCAGAATCATTGTAATAAAGGCGCAAAGGCTCTACAGGAGTTTAACGAATCAGAATCATTGTAATAGAGGCGCAAAGGCTCTACAGGAGTTTAACGAATCAGAATCATTGAAATAAATAAAGGCAAAGGCTTTATTTTGTACAACGATTTCAATGCCTCGAAAATACAGGGTACAAATTACAAATTAATAAAAGATGTTGTATTTCAGATATCAATATGCCGATGTGGAATAACTTGAGGGTGGAGTCATTGTTTTCTGTGGTCACTTGCATATTTGGATTGCTTTGCTTGATTGCTTCATTGAAACCATGTTGTCATAACAAACGTCTACCAGTCTACCTCGGATCCGTCTCGTTCTTCGCTTCAGGTAAGTATATATCATAATATATAATTAAACACAAAACTCTTCTTGAAAATAGAAAGAACAAAAGGGTGTTTTAATATTTACATGTATAAAATAGATTCTTTTTTTTTTCAAATGAATAGTATAGCTGCAATGAACAGGTAATCTATTTAAAATCTCTTTCTAGGCGATGACAAAAAATACTTATAATGAAATTTATTAACCCCCCCCCCCCCCCCCCAAAAAAAAAAAAAAAAAAAAAAAAAAAAAAAAAAAAAAAAAACCCCAAAAACCCAGAAAAAACAAAAACAACAACAACAAAAAAAAACAACAAACAACAACAACAACAACAAAAAAACAACAACAAACACCAAAAACAGGGTACTTTTCATTTTAAAATCACCACCAAGTATTCAGTGATATCAACACAGTTACTAAATTCATTGGGATTTAGTTGCGTTTGCCCATAAGTACATCTTTTGACATATCTTCTAAAATAGATCTGATAATACTGTAACTTTTGATCTCAGACAGTATATATGTCTTGAAATGCTATGACGAGGTTTGACAGCGGAATGCACTTTAAAGATTATTTTTAATACATGTATTACCTTCGGACATTGAAGTTGTTGAAAGATGGTTGTATTAGTGAGCTAGCTATTTTATTTCTTTCTTAAAAGTTAAAATTGTCACTTTTCACGATATTATTGTCAAGTCGTATTTGGAACCAGTTTCACCAAGGAGTATTTGTCTTTTGCTAGAACAACTTTAACTATAGACGAGTGCGTAATGTGTGTTATTTGTTACACTTGAGATACCAGCAGTTGCAGTTTTTGTTCAGCACAGTTATTTCCACCCACACCTCTCCCTTGTACATTATTATAGAACGTAATAGAATTAATACTAACTCAGCATCTTCGTTTTTATGTGCCATATATTTAGTTATACTATTAATTTTGATTAAATTTGTACTAAATGAGTGTTTTATATTTTAGGTGCTCTCATCTTCATACCTATTGTCCGTATTCTTCTGGTTCGTTCCGACCTTGAACAAAACATCGATTCCGACTACAACGTAACAATAAAACTGATGACGTCATGGTCACTTGTTGCTTCCGGCGTTGGTGCCCCCTTTGCTTTGATGGCGTCGTTTGCGCTTATTGCTACAAAATGGTTTCGGGCGACGAAGCACTGGTACCAGCATTTAACAATGAATTCAGATAATCATGGATTAGTACAGAATGGCACGGCTGTTGAGATAAAGATGACCCCTTTGGAGAGGAATTGATTAGACAATTAACCAAACAGCTACCTCGGAGAAAACCTTTTTAATATGTTTCTATGGTTACATTGCGAAAGAAACTATTAAATCCGTTTAAGTAGCTAGTAAATAAAACTCGTGTAATACATTTTGTATATTAACCTTGTTGTACAATTTTTGTTTATGCCATCGACGCATCCAATCAGCTGTTTCAATGTGCATTATGTGAAATTGATATTTTCCTCCGATTTCTTCGTCGATTTTATTCAGGACTTCTTCACATTGGAAAAGAAAACAATAAGAATGTTCAATCTGAGTATAAATTTTTAGTAAGGCAACGTCAGTGTTATGATTACAATGTGTAATACTATATAGAACTTGCTTAGGTTGCCATTAATGAAGTTGTATAACTAATAGATCTATTTGAAATGCTTTGATAAAACAATGAAATTACAATAATTTTGTATATATCAAGTGTTGAAATAAATAGTGTATATTTTATCTTTTTATGAATTCTTTTTTTTTTATAGAAATTTGACGAAAAATGCGAAATCTTGCATTAAATTTCGAATTGACACAAAATAAAGCCAGTTTAGCTATAGACGAACAGAAGCGCATTTCAAATACGAACGGAAACATACACAAATATGTCCCTTGAAATAATCGCTGATTTAACTGAATCCAGTAGTAATTTAGCCTATTAAACAACGGATAACATTTCACAATTGCATTACATGTATTTATAAACGTTCAATCAAACTGCTGGGTTTTTATTTTAAGGAACTCTACAGAGTTTTTTTTTAACATGACGGGACTGGAAACAATTTTACGAGATAAGTTCTCCATTTTAGTTGGTCTAGATCAAGAACTTGCAAGCATGCAAAATTTCAGATCATTTAATTATCATTATTATTATGATTGTGAAAAACGACCAAAAATTGAAAAGCTTTGCCACACCTTTTACTCAAATCGAACTAAGAATAGCACAAAAATACGATCTTTGTACAGTTATTAATTTTCTTTTGCATATAATAATGGAGTTCATTTAATGTCGTCATTGTCAAAATATATTACGAAAATGCAGTTTTGCATCACAGAATTATTTTTAAAGAGAATTTAACAACTTGTTTTGCTTTCATTGAAGTATATAGAATTTTTTTTTAAAAACAATTCATTTTAAATAATTTCAATAATTTCTTGGTTTGGAAAGATTGTTATTTTAATCAGTGTGTACATGGCATAATTACAACGTTTCCTCAAATTTTACATACAAATAAAATGGAAAAAAAATCTCAATAGAAACGTATGTAAAAGGCCTCGTGTCTCATAAAACACTGAATATTAGAGACTGTCGGCGTATTTAAGATCATGTTGCATAACCGGATACTTTAAATATTACCTACAGTACCGGTGAATGTCGTGAGAATGTGCACACAATTATTTCCAGTTTTTTTGTTTATGGCATAAAAACATAATCATGTTGTTTTGAAGTGAAATGTCTGTTGCATGTACTGTATTAAGGTGTTCGAGTACTCCGAGTAGACCGATTATAGCAACAGTATCGATGATGTGTTTGTTTCGATTTAATAGTCTAAGTTTGTTTCCGGAAATAAGCAAATTAAGGTACACACGTGTACAGAGCGTGAACTATCGAATTAAATAAATAAATAAATAAAAAAAATAAATAAATAAATAAAATAAAATAAATAAATGAATACATGATAACATGATTGAATGAACGAATGAACGGACGGACGGACAAACGGAGGGACGAATGAATAAATACATTCAACTTCTCGACATGCACACATGCACAAATGATGATATTTCCTGCCGACTCATTAAGAAGCTGATCCTTATTAAGCATTATTATCATTAAAATTGAACTTCCTTAAATTTCAATATATAACAAAGCTATCACAAACGTAGGAAGTTATAAAATATTTTATTTATAAATGCATTACAGCTAATGATTTTAGTTGGACCTGATTGGCGAATCGACAATTCTGCACAAACATATTTTTCAATGTCACTTATTCATTAAGTAAACGTGCAGGCACAGAAGACACATGTATATATACGAGAATATGCAGAGTAGCCCGGCTCGATACTGATGGCTACGGTTGAACTCTATCGGTTGCAGCAGACGATTTTCAAAACATTCTGGAGCAAGAAAAAAACATAATGTCGTGATGGCCACAAAAGTTATTACCCACGAATTAACAATTTAATGCAATACTATACAATAATTGGCGTTATCCATTCGTAAAATAGAATATATTATACCTACAGTTCATTTATATCGGGCATACTGCATTCTCATCTCTTTTATAAAGCCAAAATTGTTCTTTTCGAAGCCATTCAGCAAATATGGAGCGGAAAGAAGTGATTCATGTTATTCTACTAGTTGTTGCTGCATTGGCGGTTACTATTGAATTAGTCGGATTTTTTTCGCCGGGATGGCTATGTATGTCGGCAAAATATCATGCCGTTATTTCAGACACCAGTGACATAAAATGGACAGACGACATCGCTAATCAGCTGGACACTTCCGATCTTGGCAGAGTCCGTCGGCAAGATACACTCACGCCACCACCGAGTAAGCCACTAGAACAGGTTGGGGACGCTCCACGCGGTAAGAAACTGTTGAAGAACCGGACGTTATCGCCGTCTGCTGCGCAGGAAGAGAGAGTATTCAGAGACTTCCTGCGATGGATCCGAAATAGTAGCCTTACAACACTTTTAAGATCCGTCCCAAGAAACGTTACAGATTTTAAAAAATGGATATTCAAAGACAAAGCAAACTTTTTAACTGTTAGAGAATATCTGCATGAATTTCTCATGAGTGGTGCAAGCGAAAATGGAGGAAATATGACAAATACTGGACGGAATACCACATTAGCATATTTCAAGGTGATACAGTATTGGTTACGAGGTGCTGCAGACGATCCGAATCACCCAAATGTTCTAGAAAATCTTTCACATGCCACAGGCAATTCAGATGTTTCTGAAATTCAACAGACTATGATTTACAACGAATTTAGGGCATTCGTAAATCGGACAGTGCAGAGGCAACTGCCGAAGTACTACACAGAATTTGTGACGTGGCTCGCAAAAGATTTGAACAGGATTAAGAAGATGGAAAGTAGATATGATTACTTTAATATAATGATTAACAGAATCTATCCATCCGATAAAGTAGAGCTGTATGAAACTGTCATTGAGTCATGGTTCTACCAGGCCATTCAATACAACAAGTCGGCCGGTGGAACTCCTGGTGAATGGTTCGATCCCGCGGCTATGCTTGGCAGTGGCAATATAGAGGTTTCTGTCAGACTCGGAATATGGTACGGGAAGGAATGCTTTCAGGACAAATGTTACAGCACAGATACATATAAGTTGCAGAAAGATGGATTTGGTAAGTAAGATTTGCTTTTGTTTAAAGCAAGCATGCATGTTGTTCATTTGGATAAAAGAAATATTTTAATATAAAGGTTTTTGTAGTTTTTTTTATCTGTGTAAACAAAGCTGAAGCATTATGGTATATATTTTGAAAATAACATATTCGTCTAATAAAAGGTAAATGAATATGGACAGCAATTAAAACGGCAAAAAAACCCGAGAACACATTTAAAAATGTATTTTATTACGAGTATTTCAAATCTATTTTGCATTAATTGAATAATAATAATAAAAGGAATGCCGATCGTGTTTTGTACATGTTATTGAAAATGGCTGAACTTGTTCCAGTTTAACAGATCAATTGTCTTATTTCCTGTGTACGCTTTTGCTCAAACGGAAATAAATCATTTATCCTAAAATCTACAAAAACCAAGAAAATAAAACACAAACACATATGTAGCATCGGTCATTCACATTGCATTTATTCTGTAACATTCCATATGTAAACATATGTATAAATATACAAACATAGTAAATAAAAATCGTTCGAATCTGATATTATCCAAAAACATAACAATTTTAATGAACCTGAAAATGTTCAAAATATGATATTCTGTTACAAGTGTACAGTAGACCTATATCTAGTAGTTTAATTATAATAAGATTCGATTGATAGTGGAATTTTCCAAGTAATCAGAAACACTGTACACTGAAAATGGCCAACTTACTAATTCAAAAATATTTCTTATAAAAGCTTAAAGAAAAAATAACATAAAAGGGATAAGGATGGTGTATCAAACTATAAAACGTGATTGGCTATATGCTACAATGATTGGCTATATGCTACAATGTGAATACCTCGAATGATAAACTATAGCGACCCGCTTTCTTTTAAAACAACACAGCACGAAAACTTCGTGCAAATAACGATGTAAGAAACAAGGATAAGTACATACCATATTTGTACGATGCAACAATTAAAGCAACTGGATTGTCAAATTATTAGGCCAAAATACTCGATTTAGTCGTACATAACCTCGGATTTAGATGTTTACATTCTAGTTCATGTTTTGACCAAAAAACTTGTCTCTTTTTTAGTTTTATTGTGCATAATCGGTCAGTTTTATAATATCTTTTAAGTCCATCAATACAAGAACGTGATGAAAATTGTATAAATCCCTTCAAAATAACCGGAATTAGCACAGTGGGAGAACTATATAATTGGGTGTTATGCTATGCTAACAACTGTGGTGTCATCCCCTTTGTTGAAAAGCAGTGTAATACCGGGGCATGGATATATGTATAAAATAACTATGCTTATAACTCATTTCTTCGGTAAGCGTTTCAAAGAGCAGTCGATCTATGTTAACAGGGATCTCTCATTTTTTAAAAATTATTTTTACCTTAAGTTGCTGAGATTTTACATACATATTGGAATACAAGGTTGACAGGATTAAAAAATGAAGTCAAAGTTGAATGTGGCGAAACAATTACCGGCTGTCATAATTTGTATTGCGGCGTTAGCGGTTTTATTTCAAGTAATAGGAATCACTTCGTCTGGTTGGTTGGTGGCTCAATTGAACTACGCAAAATCAGGACATACAAGTGCATTAAACAATAACAGCGAGATCGAGAAAAACATTCAAAACGGGAAGGCACAAATAAACCCATTGTCGGAACCACTAGCTCGTCCCAATCATAGAATATCAAAAAGAACAATACCTGGAAAACTGATCAACGAAAATGGCGATACCATTAACAAAGAAGTCGTGTTGCCAGTAGAAGATGCACCTTCTCCTCAGGTAAATGCTAATGCAAAATTAGCGGAAAGAAACAAAACAAGTGCTATACACAGACCATTCTTTTTGAGACCGTTTCCAGTGCAACCAAAAGAACCAGTTAATAATGATGGAAATTTCATACCTAAAGAGTCTGTCAATGACAAAGCAGAAGTGACAAACAATGCTCGACCGTTTCGTCCCATGCCTAGACCATTACCGACTAACATTTTGCATGCACAACCTCAAAACCCAGTTGATAGTGGTGGAAAAGTTATACCTAAAGATCCTGTCAATAAAAAACCAGAACAGGTAAACAATTCTCGGCCAATTCGTCCCAGACCAATGCCTGCACGACCTCAAAAGCCAATTGATAGTGGTGGAAAGGTCATACCAGGAAAGGTCAAACCAGGGCAGACAAACAATGCTCCACCAATGCGTCCGACACCACGGCCAAAACATATACAAATTACGTCCAGACGACCTCAAAAACAGATCGATAATGGCGGTAAAATCTTCCCTGAAGGACATATTAATGTTAAATCAAGAGAGACAAATAAAACACGGTCCACAACTTTGCCAACGAAGACGTTGCATGAACGCCCTCAAAAACAGACCGATGATGGTGGAGCAAGTTTTCCTAAAGGAAATACCAACGTTAATTCAGAAGAATTTAACAGTACAGGACCAGTTAATCCGATGGCAAGACAACTTCCTAGTAAAACACTGCTGCAGCGACCAGACAAATTAATTGATGATGGTGGAAAGACAATTCCAAAAGATACCGCACATCCATCCACGACATCGACGGTGTTGTCCGAGATACATTTAACACAACCGTCTAGCGAAAATGTAAATTCTTTTGACGAAGATAGTAACAGCACGCAAAGAGATTCTAAGAACAGTGGATCAATTCAAATAAATCCTGAAGATCTTAATCAAAATAGCGAGGAACCACACAATAACCAATTAAAAGATATTCCTAATAAACCCCGTGTTCAATTCCCATCGAAAAGCGATTCGCCGCCGTTAACCGCAAGAAAACCAGCGATGACAGGAAAGGGTCCGTTTGCAAAACTCAACAGCTCAAGACAGAAACAACGAGATAATTTATCACAGATGGGTAAAACGGGAAACTTTCGAATCGGATTATGGTCGTCAATGGCATGCCAAACAGAAATCAATGGGGATGAAAAATGCACACAACTTACCACACGGGACTGCCTTTTGTTAATGCGCTCTGTGATAAGAAGACCTTTAGCTGATGGTTAGTAATTTGATTGATTCAAAGAGTAAATCAAAGCACAAAAGGCGCTGAATTTGTTTTTAGGTGTCAGAATGGTGAAGGTTGTGAAATTATAAACCAATTTATTTTTGTATAGTGACATCAATAAAACTGTAGTAAATTGGCTATAAGGCTAATTGTAACACTGATATTCAATTTAATGTTTATTTGGCTGTAAAAAAAGTTGCATTATCTGGGATTTGAACTCAAGACCTCTCGCTTCCTAACCGAGCGTGTAACCCCTCGAACACGGTGTAGTTTTGAGATAACAACCTAAAAAACCATATCATTCTATTTTAGGGTTTGTAACCCTTATTAATTTCACGTTAAACCTGTTGTTTAACACTGATGTAAATAATTATGGAGCTTAATATAAGCATGCATGTTTATCTGTAAAGAATAATACAATATTAGAAATCTTCAACCAATCGGGAACTTTTTTTCTTCCCCGAGAATGGCTTGAAAATTAATGCGTCTGTCATTTGACAATCTTTACGCAGTGATTTCCCCTTATTTTTTCGGCGTTAGTGTACTTATAAAGGGAAGTAACCGCTTCGAGGAGTTTGGACTACTTTCGGTATTTGCAAATAAGCACATCAGGGTCTGAAAATTCGCTACCATTATTTGTTTGGTTTGACGGCCCAAACAAAAAAAAATGAAAAAATCTATATTGATCGCGCTGTCGATGTATAAGTATTTTGTTAACGAATCTCACAAAAACCCTTAGATAATCCTTAAAAAGTCTTTTACATCTTGTTAAACTTAATCTTACAATTTGAGCACACATGTATAGAAGTTGTAAAAACAAGCAGTTCCTATCAAACTCATAGAAAATAATGGAAAATTTATTGTTTCAATACATATTATATACAATTATTTTCGATGAATACCATAGTACCCCGGTCTTAAATGTTTTAATCTCGCAACCTTAATAATTGCTAGGTACTTTAGGATGTCGATTGCTTGACCATGTAAGCCGTATTTTTACGATCAATATTGTTCATCGTATTTTTCTCAGCTTTTAACAGTTTTTATTTGTTTGGGTCGTCAGACCAAACAAATAATGGTAGCGAAATTTCAGACTCTGATGCTGTTAATTGCAAATGCCGAAAGTAGCTCGCTTTTTTGAAGCGGTTACTTCCCTTTATATGTAAACTAACGCCGAAAAATTCAGGGGAGATCACTGCGTAAAGATTGTCAAATGACAGGCGCATTAATTTTTAAGCAAAATAGTTCCCGAATGCTCGAAGATTTCTAATTTTGTTTTATTCTTTATAGATATACATGCTTATAGTAAGCTCCATGATTATTTACATCTGTGTTAAACAACTCGTTTAGCGTCGAAATAATGAGAGTTACAAACCCTAATTTAGAATAATATGGTTTTCTTCGGGCCGTTAAAACATAACTTCACCGAGGGGTTTGCGCGCTCGCTTAGGAAGCGAGAGGTCTGGAGTTCAAATCCCAGTTAAGGCAACTCATTTTTTAAATTGTTAATTCAAATAAACATTGAATTGAATATCAGTGTTGCAATTACTATTATAGCCAATTTACTACAGGTAAAACACTGGAAAGCATTGGTAGCAGTATACTAAAAACAAATTGGTTTATAATCTCAAATCTTTCACCTTTCTGACATTCTGAGACCCAAACAAATTCAGCGCCTTCTGTGATTGATTTGAATAAGAAGGTAAAATAAACCCTAGAAATTCTGCGATTTGGTTATCTTTATTTTTCGCTACCATTTTAACGGAGTCGCAAAAGGGTATATGATAAACGACCATATAAAGTTTACAAATGATGTCATAAATGTGTGTTTTATTTTTAGATATCGGGGGAGTAGCAACATGGCACAACATTCGCATTGAGACTATTTTTGCATTGGCCGCTGGCGCAGTCGGTTTCGTCGGAACGCTGTTAACAGTGAAGCCATTTTGTCTAAAGGGCCGCCAAAGAGTGACAGCCATTATTGGCGTAATAGGATTAATTCTTTCGTGTAGGTTTCCTTTATCTTAATTTTCTGAATTCTATAGTATATATACCGCCAATCCAGAGATCCGTGATTTAAGTCCCGGCTGCGGCTTGCCGTTTTTGTGTATGATTTTACTATACTATATCACCACCACGGCCACTTTGCACGCCAACTCAAGACCTGGCTATATTCAATGTTTGCTCCTATTTTCGTTTTTTTGATAGGCTATTATTATCATTGAAAGCAGGATAAATATGTTACTAGTACTAAAATATGTGCCCAATTTCGTTTATACAGATTTAATTTTAGTTCGATTGTGTAGGAAGCTATAAGCTTATAGACACATTTTCGAATCCGTTCCTGGAACCAACCAGTACTGAGCAATGAGTGTAAAGTTTCTTGCTCAAGAAAACCACAATTTAGCAGTGTTCATAAAATTTGCGCATCTTTATGGCCATCTAACTGTTCCATTTTAAGCAAACACGGGAAACACAGATATTTCATTTCAAGATCGGAACTTTAAATTAAAAAAAGAAAACCACAAAACACCTTATAATTGAAAAAAATGTAATAAAATTGGTTAAATTGCACGTTTTTGTCTTTTGCAGGCATTCTTTTCCTTGTGCCTATATCTCGTGTTGCAAGCATAAACCAGACACTGAAGAACAATCACATGTATGAACAGGAAGTTGTTCAAATCGATATGCCATGGGCAGCTGCTGTTTCCGGTATTGGCGCGTGCCTTGCTTTTCTTACTGCTGTTTCCCTGGCGTTCTTCACGTGGTTTGACGAGAGGCATAAATGGAACCGGTTCGAAGAAGATTCTGCTATTGTCTTTAAGAATGACAATAAACCAAAAGACGAGACTCAAGAAAGCGATAGTAAAGCTGAAACTGGAACATACGACAATCTGGGTACCATGAGCAATATATAAGGAGCGTTAATGCAACAATCGTCTAGTTAGCATGGATCATTGCTGGAACAGACTGCGTGTATTTCAATAGAAATTATCTAGAATTATTTTTATTATATAAAAATGTAAGCAGAATTTTCTTTTAAATCTATTATCTCATAAATGCATATCCGAACTTCGTTCTTATAGTTACAGACATTTTGAATCATATCGTGCCTCGATTTAGTATCAATTGACCATCCACAAAATTGAAACAGGCTGTTCAATATACTATCTTTGACAAAAAAAATCAAACAAATCGGCTCAATTTATTTTATGACCGTCATAATTTCGTTTAACGTTGGTCTTCAAAGAAAAGTTTTTTTTCCTATTGCGCCTCTTTTCTGCGATGATTGATATTTCAATTTTTTTCACTCTGGATGTTTTCGATGAGAGCCTATGTCACCAATGAAGAGACGGATCTGTCTGGAAAAAACTGTACTTACGGCTACCTAACTTTAATCTTCTGATCCTGAAATTTCCAGAACTACAAACATAACCAGCGTAAATGTTTAAGATGTAAATAAATTATTATTCAGATTTCAATGAACTTCGAATTTATAGAAATGAATTAAAAAGTGTCTTTGCTGAAAAAGAAGACTCTCAGAGCAAAATGATCATTTTTAAGGCGATGTTCTTACATAATAACTAGGTTTGTTTTATTTAGTATTATAAACCATGATTTGTGTATTCAAATATCCTTACTTCTGTTATGAACATTTCCCCCTTTATTAGAACATATATACTGAAAGAAAAAAGTTTAGCAAGTTCGTATAAAATATAATATTTTGATATGTTTATATAACATTCAACAAAAACTCAATGACATACATCTTCAAGCTTTTAATTCCATTTGTAAATCAACAAGTAAATCGAAAACAGATATTGAATTCTCTGGATTCTGTTAACCGAAAATGGTAGGGATGTAAGGGAAAACTCACAAAAATGTCAATATCGAGTATGTCCTCCGTTAACATCAAGTACAGCAGTACATCTTCGTCTCATGCTGTTAACAACATTTGGAGGAATTCTGCGCCATTCCTCGTGCAAAGCCCGCTCAAGATCACGAACGGTGATGACGTCATTACGTTCTCTAAGCTTACGCCCAAGATGGTCCCACATGTGTTCAATTGGTGAAAGATCTGGCGATCTGGATGGCCATGGAAGAACAGCAATGTTGTTACGCCTGAGAACATTCTGTGTGTGCCTTGCAGTGTGTGGCCGGGCGTTATCCTGTTGCAAAATTCGTGCATGTTGTAACAGAAACGGGACAACAACTGGCTCCACTATCTCGTCACAATACCGCACTGCAGTAAGGTTTCCAGCTACTGTAATCAATTCAGTTTTACCATGATGAATTCCCGCCCATATCATCACACTGCCCCCACCGTAACGATCGCGTTCAATGACGTTTTCCGGATCAAATCGCTCGCCCTTTCGCCTCCATACACGTAACCTTCCGTCAGCAAAGGAAAGATTAAATCTTGACTCGTCGGTAAAAAGAACATCATTCCACTGTGCACGGTTCCATCTTTGGTGAATTCTAGCCCAAGCGACGCGATCCTGTCGATGACGTCGTGTTAACGGTATCCCCACGTGAGGTCGACGTCCATGGAGTCTGGCAGCGTGAAGTCTATTGCGCACTGTCCTGTCACAAATTCTAGTACCGGTAGAATTTCTGAGGTGATTAGCCAACCTGCGACTAGACATAAATCGATTTCGCCGTGACGTCACAACAATATAACGGTCTTCTGCAAACGTTGTTTTTCGTGGTCTACCCGAACGTGGCATATCTTTTACATCCCCTGTTAGCTGATATCTAGTTTTTAGACGACTAATAGTCGATTCGCTTACGTGAAATTGTCGTGCAACTTCCCACGCGGTCATACCAGCATTTAGCATGCCAATAGCCATATGACGTCGAGGTAACGTCATTCCTGGAGCACGTCCCATTGAATAATTTTCAAAATTAAATGTGGTTAATTTGTTTATGGTATAAGATTGACAAGGCTATATTACGTTTGAATTTATACATGCCAGATTTCGTGCTGCACGTGCTCTCCGTGGTTTACCAGTTACTACACGTTTTGACGTTTCATAACCACATATGCTTAAAACTGTACAGGGAATCTATGGTAGAGGTCAAGCTAGACATTATAACAGCATAAAACATGTATACATACATTGTCCCTTAATCTATATGTACCCCTACAGAACTTGCTAAACTTATTTCTTTCAGTATATTATTGCTAAACCTGTTATATGTAAAATGTTATTTTTGTTGTTATTTAAACTGTTAATGTTGATCATTAATATTGCTGTTAAATTTCAAACTATACCTAATAAAATCATTAATTAATAGAAACATCGTTTTATTTGAAATTACTTATATATTTTTCAATCTAATTATCTTAAAAAATTTACAGGTTTATCTTTAACGAATTATTTTGTCATTTTTGGGGAAAAGCTTTCCAGTTAAATGACATTCAAGATAGGCACAACTATTTCTTTATGGAAAAAAATCGTAGCGGCGCTTTCCAGTTATGATAGAAAAGATTACTCTCTACACCCACGTTCATTAATCATTAGAAACTATTGGTAATCATTTACCGAATTTGTTTTTCTATATGAACGGAAGTAAAGAATTGTCGGGATTTAACATAGTGAAGTTTATTAACAAGTAAGTACATTAAAACGCTCTGTAAAGGAAATGCAAATGACTGGCGTCAGCTTCATTTTATAACTGAATTAAGTAATCAATTTTGTCCATGGGAGTGTAACCAACGCATTTGTGGAACACTGGCTAGCCAATTCTGTACAAAACACTTTGTAAGCTCTAAGCCATGTAGTTTTAACGGATACTATTTTTAAAGCACAAGTGACATACGGAATCACTTAGAGAAAAATGGAATCCCTAAAGAGCGCCCAAAATGACAAAAGTGAAAATGTTACAAGTCTGTTCATGAACAGTACTGGAAGTGCAAGTTATCGTGCATGAACACCGGCATAGGCTTACATAGAAATCCAGATTATATACAGGGCAGGAATAGAGATGCAGCTCTTTAAGCACTGGTTTGTACACGCCGAACATATTTATATAAACGTCTGCTTACTTTGCAAGCATTATAATAGTGCTTTAAATGTAACTTGAACATCTGTGTCAACAAACCATCTACCTTTAAACTTGTTTTATTGTCCCTAAACGCTCGATTTAAAAAAACAACAACAAAGAACATCTCGATCGAGATCTCACATTTTAATACAAATTTATTTACATACAATAAACAGAATTAATACCTGTTCCAAATGTCCATTTTTGAGAAGAAAAAAACAAGTGACAAAATTAAGAAGTTATTTTCCATTTCCCTTCAACGACTTAGGTTGTTGCTTTTTGTATTTCTTTTAATTCTTATTAAAAACCAGAGCAGCAAGTCTTGGAAACTCTATTTTACAAATGTCATGTGTAAAGGGGAATTCAGAAACCAGAAAATCTACTGAAACATGTTCTGCTTAAAGGGGCAACATTCGCTGCCGCGGCAGCGAGTATTTGTGGGTGTGACTAATCAGTGATGTAAAACTGTCTGTTATAAACCCTGAACTATAAATAGCATGCAGTGTTAACCTGCAGAGAGAATGTAAACAAAAACAGCTGATTTTACACAGGAGAGGTTTAAAGGATGTTTTATATAACTCACAGATTAATTAAAGACATTATCAAGTCATCTTGTCCAGATATTATTTTTTGAAATCAGTTGTTTTTCTTTTTTTTTCACTTGAATGCTGTATATGTCCTTCATCAAGTCATACAATTATATCCAAATTCAAAAGATGTGCCCTACATAGGGCATTTCTTTTAGGAACAACCTGCTAAAAATGTTCTTGACAAGAATTTTAATTATTTTTAAACTGTTTATGTATAAAATTTTATGCATATATGCAACATTTAGTTTGATTAACATTTATGAAATGTAATTTTTGACTACAAGATATTTACAACAAAATATAGTGTAAATGAAATATACCTGGAAGTTACTTTTACTGTTTTCATGCAAATACAAGTTAAATCAGTACTTTAATTGAAATTAAAAAAAAAAATCATAGATTAATGGATTATTGTATATTTGTTGGATTTGATAAAGCAAGTCAGTAAAAGTTATTGTTTTTTTCTTATCATGTATTCAGCATTCCAATTTGTCGTCTGCTGAAAATCTCCCTCCCTGAAATATACATCGTCTGCTACAAATCTCTCTGCCTGACACTGCCATGTGCTTCTGTTTACTACTGAAGGTTCATGACCTGTAATGATCACATGGCTCCTCCCAGGGAAATTCAAATTTCAAATTTGACAGCCAGTATTTTTTTCCAGAAATACACTAAACAAAGTTATATTTTGAATAATTTTGGTCAATCTTTATCAAAAATATATATGCCTACAAACATGCCAAGTGTTGTTTTAATGCATTTGGTAATTAATCTTAAATCTTTGAAAAAGGGTCCCTGAAGTGAAGCATGCATAAAATTAATGAGAAACCTGCCCTAGCGCCATCTGCTGGCTTTTATAGTCCAGTTGGGCCTTTAATTCAGAAAACCTTATATAAAGGCACTTCAAACACTTTCATAAAATCATTCAATTAATCAGATTATCTAGAACAAGGAATGTTCCAAGCAATGGCGTTTTTTGGCAACAAAATAAGTGTGATCTATTGAGAGAGAAAAAAAAAGAAGAGGCTTTTATGTCATTTTGTAAACTCCTCACAGAGATTAACTCCCTTGGCAGAATTGTAAGCGAAGGGAGACAACTGCGTCGGAGTTTAGTCATTTTGGCGACACATTAAAATTTATAACACTGCTGTAAATGTCTGTGAATGAAGAAGTATTACAGACTTATTTCCCCGAGCGTCAACATTATGCCGCGTAGTCTGAATAACTTTGCCATTTTTTTTTAATATTATTTCTTAATTAGTGCATATGTTGTTATTCAAGGTAACAAAACATTGTATATATTACAATTTATACTTGTTATAAGCATTGTATTATGGTTTATGCAAATACTTTTCGCATTCGTAACAAGAGAGCCATGGCGGTGCTATATATTGTTCAAATACTTGACCAGTAAGCAGTCGGTCAAAACTTCAGCACACACACACAAGTATTATGTGCTTTCCATGTACAAAATCTCTTCCTGTAACAATAATGGCTTGAAAAAAGTAAAACAGTTTCTGCATAATACAATAAATGCTGATGTCTATTGAAAAACTTTTACATACAATGGCACATTAATGTGAAAAACCCATTACCAGATAAAATCTAGTTTCAATACTATTTTTGGAACTTTTATCAGAATTCTTTTAGCACACACCAATTTTTTTAAAATAAAAATGTCCTTTCAAATGTGAGATTTCAACATTTCCCTCAAGTTTCCATTAAAAAAAGATCAAAAGTAACTAACAATAACTTTATTTTTAACCATTCCCTTTTTGAAATAAATAAATATTAAAATAACATTATTTTTGAACTTAAAAAAAATCAAACTGTAATCTTAAATTCTAAGTAATTTTCTGAAGGTTACAGACCTTAAATATAACATGGTAATCTTAGATTTTTTGTGTCCCCACTCAATCCTTATTTTGATCTATTCCTGAACTTTAACTTGTACAAATAACATCAAAATAAAGCAGAATTCACAGAAAAAAGACACCACTGGCCAGAAAAGATCTGTCAGTTTCTTTCACCAGGGTATCCCTTGATGTTGTCATATAAAGAACCAAATCCATAAAAGGATACGTGTACATTTGTTGTTTTTTGTTTATTAGCTTTTATTTTCAATCAATCACTTAGATACTGGGAATTACACATGAACTGCCGCGCTTTATCAAAACACCCGATTTTCACATACTCCTCTCCTAAATCATAATTATATTAGCACTAGTTGGAAATATTTTTCTATTGCGCGTTTGCGCGCATAGCTGCTCTACGTCCTGTAACGGCCTGGAAACCTGATTTGATACTGGCCACGGAGCATCTGGATCCACATGTTTCACATTGTAAGAAAAACAAACGTTCCTCTTTCTGAAGCAATGTGTCCGGGGATTTACACGTATGACAAGTTACATATTCCTCTGTAAAAAAACAAAAACAAAATAGAAATAAGATATAAAATTACATAACAATATCAATAACATCTCCTTTTCAATCATGAATCCAAATATTTGAACTTATTTCACCTGATTTCTTTTTATTAAGAGCTTTGAGCTAGTTTGAACCACTCTGGACTCTGATCAATGGATTCACCTGGATATGCGGTTATAAAGACATAACTCAAGATAAAAGTTCTATTACATTGAGGCCTGTACTATGGTCATCTAAGCAAGCCTAATTGTGACCAGAGCAGGGCTTGAACTTTTGACCCCTTGGTTCATAGGAAAACAGTTAAATTCCTTAAAATCATTGGTAACTTCTTAGTAAAGATTGCAACTCTTTTAATTGTTAAAAACTGAATGAACCAAAATTGTATCTATTAAAATCATTTAATATGTTACATAGTCATACAATAATTATTAAATTTTTGCACATCTTTGTTTGTTTATTTAGGTTTTACATTACACCGACACATTATAGGTCATATGGGGACATTCCAGCTTTACTGGTGGAGGAAGACCTCAGGTGCCCTTCCGTGCATTATTTCAGGCACGAACGGGCACCTCAGTAGAACCACCGCTGTTCCGTAAGCTAACTGGATAGCTTCCTCACATGAAAGAATCTAAAGTCCCTGTCAGGATTCGAACCCACAGCAGTGAGGGGCAAGTGGTAAATTTTTGCATATAATAGTATTTTAATCTCTGAAATATTATTTTTAATGTTGAAATGTTTTAATTCATTATAATTATTGTATAATATAGAATTATAAGATAAAGTAATTAAACTATGTACTGTACTGTATACTTACTAATATATCTTCTTAAAACATTTTCTATTTGTTTCTGGTTAAATCTTCCTCTAATAATTAACTGATTGTTACCATCTACTGAACCACTGTAAAATATACAACATACAAATATTTCAAACACCATAGACAGTGAACCACTGTAAAAATACATACAAATATTTCAAATATAGACCCTAAAACAGTGAACCACTGTAATAATGTAACTCATAAATATTTCAAACACTGACCTCAAGACAGTGTGAGAGTTCTTTTATATAACTGTAATGAACCCCTTAACCCAGTGAAATTTGTGTAATGGATTGGCCCTGCTATGAATTTGGAACAGTCCAATTGAAGCTAAAGGGCTTTTCAATATTTAAGTACATAAATTGAGCTACTTTGTACCAACAGTACAAAGCCTTGCCTAACTGCAGGGTGGCTCTAATCATGTGTCATTCCAGCTGAATAAGATTTCAGTAATGAGCCTGTTGATTTTTTTTCTATAACCCTTCTCCCCCCAAATTATTGTAATGGATTCATCTTGTATAGTATTTGGAGCAGTTCATTTCTGATTTATGGTATAAAAACATAGAATAGTACGACCAGGCTGCATATAGAGGTGTAATCTAGCCTGACTCAGCCCAATATTGTGATGATCATTTCCAAACAAGAGGTTATCAAAAATGTTCATAACATGCATTCTCTTCAAATAATTTCACGAAGAATATTTTAAGTTCAACACCTGTTGAAAGAAGTTTATCCATCAAACTGTTTAAGGACTTTGCATGGTTGTAAAAAAACACATGAAATTTAGGAATGTGTCCATAAGGACATGGATGCTTGCTAAATTCCAATGTTTTGAAAGTCTATGGAAGGACAATGGACAGAAGAACCTTGATTATAATATTTTATTTGAACAGATTGTATACATACCTTGTACCCAATTCAGCTAATAAAAAGGCTAACACATGTTTTGACTGTCTATGTAACCTAAAATACAGAAATATACACAAATTAGTACAAGTCTACAACAAAAGAATGTTTAAAAAGTTCAAGATATTTTATTCAGGAGTATGGTCTAAGGGAGACAATCATGTTAAACTTCAGTTCAATTGAAATGTTGAAGAAAGTGATGTAAAAATAAATAAATAATCATACAGTGCAATTCCTTCCAAAAGTCAGCGTTATCAAAAAATAGTTAAAGATGTAATGGTTGTCTATAAATATTCATGTTACCATGTTTTTGTTCATTGAAAATAAAATACATGCCAGGGTCTTTGGCAACATACCAGATGGCATATCTCAGACTGGACACTGGGAGTTTACAATAAGATATGACATTACCATTGAAGGATACATACAATCAAGCCTGGACTTTATTAACAGAGATTGGAGGAATAATTGAAGAATGGAGGTAATGAGAGAATATAAGAAAAACGCACAAAGAGGGCAAACTCAGTAAATTTCCAAAAGATAAAATGGAAATTACCATATCATAATGCTATCTCGCCTGAAATGATCAAATGACTTACATTCTACTTATTTCAGCAAAGTTTGCAAAAGACGTTCTTCTTGCACCAGCTCTGAGGACCTGCGGAGGTCTCATGACAATTTTCTTTTTCTCACCCGTCACCATTTCAGGATTCTTCTCTTTTATTATATCGAACACTCTTGTGAGCAACTGCGGTGAACAGAAAAAAATTATCTTAAGTCAGACATTACATTATAATATAGCAATATACATTTCCAAATTTAATTGAACAAATATATTTTGGCAATCTACCATTATAAGGCTGAAAATCATTAGAAAATTCAATAAATTTTCATTTAATTCTTAATGCAGACAAAAAATTCTTTGCAAAGTAACAGTTTCAAAATAGTGAAAAAATAGTTCATCAAAGCCATGTACATAATTCCATACAGTGATATTACAAAAACAAACCTCATCATATGAATAATCTCGGTCAGACCCTACCCAAGCCTTGCCCTTTGAACTTCCTGATTTCTTATCACTGTCAGTTGTATCATCTATAAAATACAAACATATTTATGATAACATACTTTTAAAACTAGAGTATTTTTCTATCCAATCTCTCAAAGTTTCAGCTAAATCACTGATTACTATATTGAATTCTCACATTTTTAAACATAAACAGAAACATTTTTGATAAAATACTTTTAAAACTGTTGTTACATGTAACAGTACAATATGAAGTAAAATATAATATTTTTCTATTCAATTTCTAAACTTTTCAGCTAAATCAGTGATTTCTATTTTGAATTTTTACATTTTTTTCGCTCTGGTTTCAAGTCACACTGACACTTTGTAAAAGTCATATGGCCACCGCAGTTTCAGTGGTGAAGAAAAGACCTCTGATGCCCACTGTGCATTATTTCGGATACAAGTGGGCACCGAAATAGAACCAGAAACCTTCTGTAAGCTAGCTGGATAGTTTTATCAGATGAAAGAATCTAAAGTCCCTGATGGGATTCGAACCCGCAGGGATGAAGGGTAATTGATTAGAAATACGCAATGTAAACCATAACCTCTTGGGTCTTAGTACTGTATCTTTAACCCTTACAAATATGCCAGCTGATTGGCCAGTTAATACAATTATATACATGTATTGTACTTACAGATTTCCTCACCACCATCTGGCTCCGGCTTAGAAAATTCATCAAAATCAACTTTCTTCTTTTTCTTCTTCTTCATTGGTAGAGATAGATCAGCATCATTGGAACTTGTATCAACCACTACACCTCCGTCATCAGCTGGTTCTTCTGTATCTTCTGTCTGTTCAACATAGAGAAAAATCTTAACTAAAGATATTCAATGTGGAGTTGGGGTTTGATGATGATTAAAACAAGCAAGACATGTCTGTTTGCAGTTCAAATTTTCTCAGTGCCGGACAGTATAATCAAGGGCGGTAAAATAAACTTTCCGTATTGCTAATAAACATAAAGGTTGTTCCACTGGCTGTACTGACAAACAAGTGGAAAATTTCAAGAATTTACTATATAATATCATACGGACAAGTTAAGAAACACTTTAAATAACAACGGAAAAGTAAGTCAAAATCAGATTTTGCCAGCCCTGGCATAATTAAAACAAGACGTGTCCCTGGACAGCACATGTCACTTTTCTCAGTGCTGGACAGTTTAAATTCTGCAAAAGTGTTTGGCAGGTTTAACCTGCCCAAGATAGTAAACAAATATTTCAGGATTGATGTTAATACCTTTAGACATTTTTTTAGAAAACGCAAGTATTTTTATTAAAAAAATATACATTTTTTTTTAGTAAAAGCAAATAATTTTAGTCAAAAAAGGGAAATAATCAAGCAAAAAGGACTTTCGGGATTATCTGCCTATCAGAAATGTATTTCAAATGTGATCAGTTTTAAGATCTTGAAAAATGTACCATAAGAAACAAGAGGGCCATGATGGCCCTAAAGTCGCTCACCTGTATATAGGCCCCCAGAGCGGGGCCAGTTTAAACCCCAGGGCTTTTATTTGAACAAACTTGGTTGACACCCATTAGAAGATGTTTCATGCTAAACATCTAAGGTCTAGCTTGTTGGGTTTTTTAAAAGAAGATTTTTTCAAGTTTTTTTCTTTACACATATAGTTAAAAACAATGACACACCTGGGGCAGGGCCAGTTTTGACCCCAGGGCTTTTATTTGAACAATCTTTGTAGACACTTACTAGACAATGTTTCATGCTTAATATCTGAACTCTAGCTAGTCAGGGTTTTCAAAGAAGATTTTTAAGTTTTTGCTATACACATATAAGGAAAATCAATGTACCCTGGGACGGGGCCAATTTTGACCCGTGGGCTTTTATTTGAACAAACTTTGTAGACACTCACTAGAAGATGCTTCGTGCTTAATATCTAAACTTTAGCTATTAGGGGGTTTTTTCAAAGAAGATTTTGTAAGTTTTTGTCATACACAAATAAGGAAAATGAATGACCCCAGGGGCGGGGCCAATTTTGACCCCAGGGCTTTTATTTGAACAAACTTGGAAGACACTCACTAGAAGATGTTTCATGCTTAGTATCTAAACTCTAGCTATTTGTTTTTTTATTCAAAAAAGATCTTTTAAGTTTTTGTTATAAACATAGAAGGAAAATGAATGACCCTCGGGACGGGGCCAATTTTGACCCCAGGGCTCTTATTTGAACGAACTTGGTAGACATCCATTAGAACATGTTTTATGCTAAATATCTTAGCTCTAACTCTTTGCATTCTTTAAAAGAAATTTTTTTAAGTTTTTACTATATGCATACAGGGAAAATCAATGACCCCCTGGGGCGGGGCCAATTTTGACCCCAGGGCTTTTATTTGAACAAACTTGGTAGACACCCATTAGAAGATGTTTCATGCTAAATATCTTAGCTCTAGCTCTTTGCATTCTTTAAAAGAAGATTTTTTAAGTTTTTACTATATGCATATAGGGAAAATCAATTACCCCCTGGGGCGGGGCCAATTTTGACCCCAGGGCTCTTATTTGAACGAACTTGGTAGACATCCATTAGAACATGTTTCATGCTAAATATCTTAGCTCTAGCTCTTTGGAATGGAATTCTTTGATTAACTTTGTTAAGGCTTCACACAAGGAACATCCCTGTGAAGTTTCATTATGATCTGCCTTATGGTTTCAGAGGAGATGTCGTTTTAAAAGTGTGAACGGACAACGGACGACGTACGACGAGTGATCCTAATAGCTTACCCTGAGCATATGCTCAGATGAGCTAAAAAGTAAACAGAAAAATTTTAAGATGACAAAGAGGCACAACTAGAGAAAATTCAATGATAAAGTTGAATATTATTCAAGAACCTGTGACTTAAATTATAGTAATCTTGAACTTACAGGTAAAGCATCTTTCAAATCATCCATGTCCATTTTCTTCTTCTTTTTCTTTTTCTTCAAACCACCAAAATCCAATGACAGTTCTGCAATTTCATTGGTTATTTCAATAAGTTAAAGCTTTGTGAAGTTTTCATCTTGTGAGACAATTTGGTATTCTTACATAAATGTGAAAAATATTAAAATTGCTTTATGAGATTGTTGATTCCCCTAGCATGCATTAAGTCAAGATAATTAAATATATGTGTTGCCATCATTAAAAAGTTGCGCTATCTACTCCTTGTACAGTATTTATTTTGAGTTTGTTTAAAAAAAAGAAGATACTATGTATGGTTTCCTTCATTTCTTTAACAATTTTAAGTGAATTAAAAGTATAAGTTAGAGACACAAGAAGAACATGCTAGAGAAAATCAATTCTGTACAACCTTCATCCACTGGTTTTTCTTGGACTTGTTCTGCTTCACTAGCTTTCTCTTCTGTAGCTGTTTCTTCAGCGGGTGCCTCTGCTGGAGCATCATCAACAGCATCTGGATCAAACCCTGTCTTCTTTTTCTTCTTCTTCTTTTTCATGCTAGGGTCAAAGGGTAACTGTAATCAAAGAAATTTAAGGTTCTATATCCAGTAATATAAAACTCAAGATGTCCCAGGTCTTTTATTCATCATTCTGTGACTAGAACCAATAATTAATTTATAGAAAGACGGATAGAATTAGGATAATGTTTCTAACTAAACAAAACCTATAAGGATTTCCCCCCCAACATACATGAATTTCATAATATCATAACATAAGAAACGTGTACCACTTTTAATCAAATTGTACACTAAATGAGTTTTACTTTGTTTGGCAGTGTTAGCAGGTGGTGCAATAGAGTTTATAGACATTGTTTGAATTATGTCTTTTTCGTCCATGTTTACCCTATACTTTAAGCAAAAATGCCCTGAAATTATCAGTCTGCGAAATAACTTTTCTAGATCATAGGCCATTTGGGCCTTCAACCTAGGTGAAAGTAAAGTATGTTTATTTAAGTTGAACAGTACATCCTGAAAGTCTAAATATTCGTCATTCTGATTTTGATCAGCAGACTTAAATTTTCGTAAATGTTATCCAAGCACTTGTCTGAATTTTCTCACTCACAATTTTCTGTCTTGCACAGACAGATGGCATTATGATGCATTTGCTTTTTTCTGTGAACACTTGATATTTCATGATCTTTAACAGTTGAAATGTGAAAATTTGAAATTCCAGTAATAAATGTGTCACAATTTTTTTTTTTTTTTTTGTGTTTTCCTGTTTTTTATACATTGTCATAAAATCAGCTATTCACACCCTTTTTTCCATTTGTAATTAAATTTTCTATCTGGTCTGGTTTTTCATACTTTCTTTTTCCGTTTTTTTCTGACAGCGTTAATTTTTTTCCCCAGGCACTGAGCCTTCGTAATATTTCAAGGACTCCATGTTTACAACTTGTACTTTATACGCCGATTGAACGGTTTTCAGGCATTGGTTAATTTCACGATATCAGCCAATGAAAATAATTTACACATAACGCAACATTCAAGGAAAAGTAATCTCGCTAGGAACAACCAAGGAATTAGTCAATATTAGTCTCCCTTCATCCTGAAAAAAATGTCAGACAGTCGAACAAAGCACAGGGTTCCCACTCTTAGATATTTTGAAAATTTAAGGACTTTTCCAGGACTTATCAAGGACCTTTTTTGATTTTTTAAGGACTTTTTAGAAGATTAAATTTCAAGCTACATGTATTTGATTTTTTGTCCTATGAATATGTTCATGGTAATGTTTAGAACAACATTTAATAACACCAATATAATACATGTAGTTCATGACATAAATCTAATTCTTTCTAAGAAATACATTCAGTGTCTATAAATAATGAAATGTACTTTGTGACAGCAACTGTTTTTGCAGGTTGTCTGCAATTTTCATGTAATTTTGCTGTTTTTAATGCTTCCAAGGGATCACTTTTTATACCAGATATTCATAGTACTTTAATTAGTAACCTCACATTTGACCTCAGTCCACTAAGGCTTCATAGAATGGCAAAAGCATGTCACACTGAAGGGTATATGAAAACTGCCTGCAGGTGTTTCTACATTCAAAATTTCACGACTTTCATGTTAAAATATTGTATTCTGCTTAAGCCAGTGCTACGGGGTGCACTTCCAGTACCATATATCAAGCCCTAGTCTACAACATTTTCAATTTTGCCATTTTGGATGTTATTTAGGGATTCTTTTTTGTATTTCAATGACATATCTTTTGATTTGATCTTACAATTTTTTAAACCATCTACAAAATATGGCGGCAGCATGAAATACCCAAATATACCCAAACACACTAAATTATAGCAATGTTCATTTTGGTTTGTATACAATGTTGATTTTAATGAGAAAATGAATTGATATTTACAAAATAATATGACTTAGCCAACTATAACTTTCGATCATTCCATTGAAATTGGCAGTTCAGATGTTGTAAGAAAAAAGAGTGACATTTGCTTATTTATCTAACTGTTAGGTTCATTAATGAATAGGCAAATGTACTTGCAAGATATGATAATATTTGTTGTCTACATTTAAATTTGTAGGGTATAATTTTGTTGAAATTTCATCCAAGTTCATTCGTATTATTTTTTTAATTTAATAGCTTGAATGGAGTATACTGTATTTGGGTATATTTTGGTTCAAAAATGTATATTTGGGTATGTTTCATTACATCTTAGTGAAAGTGTATATTGTATTCATGATTAAAACAGCACTTTTTTAGTAAAACACATTTATTTTTAGCATATTTTTGTTATATTTGGGTATTTTGTGCTACCCAGATATGGTGTGGCCAATTGGCTGTGCTCTGCCTTGACAATAGTTCATGCATGTAATACTATTTTTTTTATTTTATATTGATTTACCTTTGGCTTTTAGCATGGTAGTGAGCAATTAGGATACAAAAATTTGCCAAAGGAAACAACCAGGCCAATCAAGCAAACTTGAGGTTGATTTGTGACTGTCTTCCTAGATTTTCCAAACAAAACCGCCATAGTAACCAGAAAATAAATGATAAATCTCATAAATGTCAAACTTGGCCTCCCAAAACAGTTGTAAATCGAAAATCATCAACATTCAAGATGCGGAAGTCAATATACTGTGCAAAGACCGCCATTTTGGTTTTTTTGATTTACCTCCCCTTTTCCAGACTAATTCCCGTACCTTCCCGGACTTTTTTATGTATCAACACTAATTCCCGGACTTTTCAAGGCCGGGAGCTCCTGTGTTCAAATTCACGGACATTTCCCGTTTTCCCGGACAGCGTGGGAACCCTGAAAGCATAGCTTAAAAATCGTTGGACCCTGAGAAAATAAGCCAGTCATGTGCGTCAGTCTGGGAAGATAGTAACAGCATCCTGTCCAACATGAAAATTCAACATGAAAATTCAGAAAATAACGGCTCCATATAACTTTAGAAATGGGGGGAGAACTGTCTGCATATTTTAAATTTGAGGGAGAACTGTTATGGGAGGAAACGATTTGGTGGAGAACCATCAGGGGAGAACTGGTAAGGGAGAGAATTGTCTGACTACTGTTTTGACTTGCCGGTTGGGGGCTGAATAGTATGTCTCTTATTTCCTTTATCCATATGTTCAATCCGTTCAATAAACATATTTTCATACAAATTTTACCTTTTAAAATGCCTTTGTGAAGTAAAGTGCATATTTGATGGGTAGAACAGAGACAGAGTAATTGAAATATGGGCAAAGACTTCAATCAAGTACCATGTCTGCCTTTAATTTATTTAAATCTAACGTTTAAATGTACACGAGACACAAAAATACTTTCAGGCATGGAGGCCGCCATATTGGAATTCAACATGCGACTAACCGGTAAGCGAATAATTTCAACACCTGATTTTCTTACCATTTCTTCGTCCGCCATTTTTTATGTTTTAACTATGTTCTCCAAATATAACAAATTTATTCTAAAGTTCACGATCAAATATACGTATTTACATCTGTTTTCAACAGCTGATTTTTACATTGCATCAGTTTTCGTAAAGGTGAAGGACATTTATGATACGGCATACGTGTTGGTTTCGGTGGCCAAATTGGTTCGTACCAAAACGTTTCGCTCCCTAATTTCATACCAAACAACGACTGGTAATTTTTTTTAAATTCACAAATTGTGATTAAGATTCAATAAATCACCAGGGAGAGAAAATTTAGAAATATCAAACACAGTTCATAAGACACTTTGGTTAAAATAGAAATTGTCTACTGAAGTAAGCTATTTCTAGTAGATCTTCAATACTAGGAATATAAATTATACAGATAAATGGTGGCAGACACTTCACTCCCAAGACGTTCATTCTCTAACTTCACACCAAAATAATCTTAATACTTATGGTATAAATGTTTTTAAAAATTGAATTTATCGTTATTTAAATTAATAAATGATCATTAAAATGGTTAATTTGAAATCAAAATAGAATTATTAAATCTTATTGATATAACTTTTTACTGAGTATCTATACTCAGTAAATGAAATATTGTTGACATAAAATGAGTATTTTCATTTTCCATATTTTCACTGTAAAAAAGTATTTTTCATTGCAGTGGGACATATTTTCCGTATTTTCACTGGTGTCTTGCCGAACTTTTTTCTCCTAAAGTCAGCTAATACACAAAATTTAAGGGAAAATCTTTCAAATTGTAATATCAAAAAGTAAAAATGTATATTACAAACAGAAAATTCTTGTTATTATTTTCATCGTGTGCTGTAAATATTATCAAATGTCACTCGAGGATACCGCCACTAATGAAAATTCAAATATTTATTTTCATACCACTCGGTGAAATAAAATTTTAATCCTGTATATAAAGAAAAAACTTCAATATACTCTATGAATCATTTTTGTGCGAACATGTAAAGCATATCCCAAAATTACACAATTAATTTACAGTACTGTTTTAAAAGTGGTTTGTTCATGATATTAAAACTATTTTAAAGTGTTTTAATACACTGCACAGTAGGGGTGGAAGGTAATAATCGGCCTTTAAAATGAATAATATGACCTTGAGGGCTATCACTTTTCGGTACGTCTCTAACGTGTATTGATATCTTTAATACACTTGATATAGTAGCTCTATTTTTTAATTAGATATACTTTGATAATTGATTAATTCTGTCCATGAAGTTCCTGTTCCTGAACTGTAGTGTAATGCACGGGAACTTATACAGAGTTGACTCCATATTAAAGCGTATATGATACAAACTTACAAAGTCCGCTACAGTACTGTAGAATAAAGTTTCTCGGAATAAAATTGTCATTTTCTTTCTTCTTTCAATTTCAATAAAACTGTGTTTGTAAAATGTATGCTTAAGTTTTGATAATAAATTGGCGATCCGTTCTGAAAACCTACTTTTACTTCTTTACAGCTAGCTTTTGATGACGTAAAATGTGACGTCATTGTTTCATCTTTTTCACGTACTTTTGTTCAACAGACCGAGTCAAAAACTCATAATCGATCACGTGACACTCATAACTAGTTGAAATCATAATTAATTGTGCTACTATGTATATGTAAGTGTTCATCTGTGCTGTTCTACATAAATTAGAAGCTTCGACGAGCGATAGCGACCGGAGAATGTTTCTTATTTCTATAGAACATCACAGATGAACACTAACATATTCATAGTGCATAGAAGTATAATACTACTTATTAGCATGGTTCTCAGGTTCTTGTTTAACATTTTTTCACGAAACGTTAAAGTAACAAACAAAGAGACATTTCCATTATTATATAACAAATACACAAAACACTTGTCTGTTTCAAGGTGTTTGGACAGAGTTTAAAATGTGGAACATGAAAGACAAATATTAGTTACATGGAAATGAATTTCACAAACCAATACGGAAACATCGTAAAATTTAATATGTTTTCTTCTCGAAAACCAAATCAAGAAAACAAACATTGGATATTGACTTAAATGTACATATCTTTTATCATAGAACTGTGATCATTAAATTGTCTCATAATCACTGGTAACATATCTACATCTCTGATGAATTACCAAAAAGATATAGTGCAAAAACAAACATTCAGAAATTTGAAGTACGCATTTTATAATGTAAAAAATCATGATCAACAATTGATGAAAACAAAACACTGAGCGATGTTTACGAACTTCTTTCCTTTTCAGCGGAAATTGGTAGTTCCAGATGCGGATACCAATATATTTATCAGGCTAATATATTCAATATATCATTGAAATATTAAGCAATGGTGGTTTTTGGTTGGCCAGTTTGTTTAACTCACTCGACATAAGAATGACGTAGCAAAATCTTATGTGCTGGTCCAGTAGGCCTATGTAACTGATAATCTATTTTTTGTGTGTAGATTTTAAAGGCTTACCAATATCAAGAGCCTGATATAAGGTAGGAAAACGATCACGAGTATCAGCGAGGCTTCCAAAACCATGAGATATTTAAGCATTGTTCGATACTCATATATTGGTTAGTTCTAAAATAATTCAGCCAAGAGAAGAAACACTTCGATAACCAGGATAAATGATTAGTTATTGCCAGGAATTTGACTTTTTCAGATTTTTTTTTCATTGTAAGAAATATCATGCAAACATTTTAAAAATTTGAGTTTGTGAAGCATTTTGATTTTGCTTAGTTAGATATATATACTCGCATATTAGAAATGGCTTATTTGATGTTGAGTGATAAAACATGTATATGTCAACTTGATAGTGGCCAGTAGGCTTCACAAAATGATATATGACACACCATATATATAAGAATTTAAGTCATAGGCATGAATTCATTTTTGTAACTATGATCATAGAATGTTATCATATAATCACTCGTTACATACATAAAATACATGTTCTTTACAATATTAGTTATCTCCGGCAATTCATTGCTTCCATATTTTTGTTGTTGTCACTTGTCAGAAGAATCACGATTTCTAAAAAGAATTTAATCTTTTATTGAAAGAAAATTTGCATATCAGTTAAATCAGGACCGTAAGATACATGTATACCTCCTTCACAACAGAAGGAAACGTTAATCAGCTCTGAAATCCCAGACTATTGCAGGCTGTGACTTGCTCTAATTTGGTAAAATCACGGATTTACGGATAGTAATTAAGATCCGTGGTAAAATAAAGCTAATTTACGGCATCAACAATTTAATTCCGCATAAAAGGAATATATCAACAAACTTAAATCGGCTACTTGCATCATTCATTCTGAATGTATTCTATATAATTTCTTGGAATGCTCGCGGGAAAATGTTTGTAATTTTTACCTTTTCCTTTACGGACATCGTACTTTATTGTTAACTCTTAAATGTATTAATTATCACTGTATCCATATAAATGTAACAAGAATATAATTAATCTCTGTGTACAGTACTTAGTCTCTCATAAATGCACATAAAGCTTGACTTTTTCTTTTCGGTTAATATGTATACGTTTTGTTGCATCAGAAAATCTAAAATTAATCTCCAATTGAAATATATTTATAGATATAGTTTACGTCATCTTCGAGTATTTCATCATAAATAAATAAATAAATAAATAAATAAATAAATAAATAAATAAATAAATAAATAAATATAAAATAAATAAATAAATAAATAAATAAATACCTGTGTTGACTTTAGACTTATATATGTTTCAATTCAATTATTAAAAAAATTCTTATCAGAATTAACATACCAAATAATATATAAAAATTTAAAAACATGATATATTATTCGGGATGCAACTTGATTGAACGGCTAATTGAGTTTTATTGGCAACCAGAGAGTCAAACCGGCCTTATTGTACTATATTGTTCGGTGAAGGTTTACATTTGGCCCGAGTTATCATATTTTACGGATTTTTTTTTTTAACTATTGTGCAAAATGAGTCAGATGTAGGCCGTAACAACACGGAAGTTCGCGCTTAATACAATTATTACAATTTCTTTAAACGAAAAAATACACATTTACAAAAAAGAATAGTTTAAGTAAGGTGTACATATATATATATTGTATATAAAAGGATTTTTTGATTGAGAAATACATTTTTATCTGTGTTTTTTGCTTTACTTACAAAACCTAGTTTTAGTTAAGAAAAATATTGAATAATCATTTTCGTTTATTATTTATTTCTTAAGTTTTTTATGTTACTAATTATAGTAACACGCTGACTGAAACGTCATTTCTGGCTTCACTGGCCATAGTTGTTGTTGAGGTAGAACTTAAGCTCTTAGTTTTTCAGTTAGCTTGCGCAATCTAAGTGGGAACACATTCATTTTTGCATACCAAAAGATTGAGCAAAGTAAGCTGCATCTTATGAGCTATGAAGTTTTAAAAATTGTGGCGTAGATGTTCTGCAAATCGATGTTTTATCTCTGCAAAATACAGATCAGTCACGCTTCGTTGCTTTGTATTTTGATTTACAAAATGCAATGTTTAGAACATAAATAAAGAAATACTCGAACATTTAAAAGTGTTAGGCCATGTTTTAAGTATGTGGCTATTTTGTGCGGCCTCTTACTATGATTTTACAGGAAGTTCAAACGAAATTTTCTGCAATCTGCAACCTGATTTCACTGCAAAATAATTCTACCAGGAAGATTATCATTTATGAATAAATTTCTACATATATAATATATTTTGTTGAGAATTCATCTAGACATTGATTTTCAGTCCCTACAAAATGTGCCCGTATACATGATGTACCATTACTTTTAAATACTGTTTGATATTTGGTTACATTTTCATTCTGCAGCAGTAGGTTTGGATGGTCATGTATCGCAGTTATGAAATTTTCATATTATATTCTAATTAGCTTCCCACTATTCTCCTACCAAACATATAGGGCAATTAAGTACATTAGTACGGGATATATGCACAACATAAAAAAACAACAAATACATGTGATATTTGAATTCAATAACCCAAATGGCATCTGGGAAAGTTGTTGATAATACTTTTATGCTCAGTGTAGTGCAACCATTCATATCAGTTCTCTTTTTAATTAGCATTTGAGAATGGAAGTAGAATTTTACTAGCATTATTGT